GCTTTCTCTCTCTCTGGTCCCCGAAGTTTTTTTTTCCAATTCACAGCTTCGTTTTCGAGGCAGCAGCAGCTACAGTACGGCAGCGATCGTAACTCTGGCTGGATGGGCGAGGGTGAGGGACTCTTTCAATTAAATTTTTGAATTAACTCACGCTTGAATGATTTTTGATAATAATCAAATCTCGAATGAAGAGACGCTTAATGAGTGTCGTCGTCGTCGTCGTTGGGGTGGTGACTGGTGAGCGGTGTCGACGTCGAAGTCAACGTAGTGGTGTACTAGTTGCATATGCTCTCGCTCGCTCGCTCGCGTATTGTATCAGTGTGTGCGTATGTATGTAAAACTCACTGACTCCATCCAACGCGCTGTTTTCGCAGCAGCCTCTCGGAGTTTCATCGCGTTATTGATTTAAACTCTCTCTGTATCTCGCGAGTATATATGCGGGGGTAGGTAAATTTTATACGATGAATACATGCGTAAATAAAACTTTCCTTATTTAAAATGTTGCGCCGTTCCTGCCGCTGATGCTGCTTGCATTTATATATGTATAAAATATGTATAAATATTATATGTGTATACAGCGCAAAAGTTGACCTAGCTCTCTGCACAACTTGCAGCAGTAACGAATGCGTGTGCGTCAGTCAGTCGGTCGGAGACTATATGACGCGTAAATATAGTGCACTGATACACACACACGCACACACATACACAACGTATATAATGTGCATTAATATAAAAGCCATGTAGATAAAAGTTATGGGCCCTGCGTATACATGACGACGATGATGATGAAGGCAGATATATGCATAATAATAAATATATATAGGACGCGAGAAAGTTAAACCTCGTGTTCGAGAGCTGATGATTATTTTTAACAAAGCTGCGTATGCTAAAGACTTCTACGTGCTATGTATATTATTATATATTATATACGCTGAGTCAAAGTCGCAAATTTTAAACCGCAAGAGCTCGACAAATACAGTAGTGGTAGTAGTGTATGCACTTTTCCTATATTATATACGTATAGTGAAGCGCCGCGCGACATCGAGGTCCTGTATTTACACTCGTAATATATATAGCTCCTAGTGTGAATCGCTGCTGCAGCTTTCGGGGGAGCTAAAAGCCGAGGAGACCTAAGAATAGCTTAATACAACAATAGGGCCACGATGGCAGTTTAATCGGAAAGCTTCGTAGTGCCTCTGTGGCTGTCTGTGTGTGCAAAGTCGAAAACGACTAAACCATATGTGTGTGTGTGAGAGAGTATACCGCAGTGTAGTGCAGTGTGTTTGCCTTATTTGCGGGCCGCGTGAAATGCGCATATAGATAAATTCAAGTTCACCGTGCGCCCACTCCCATATATATACCTACCTACTACGCATTATGAGAGAAGAGTATTTCAACCGCGGGGCTATGCATATGATATGTAAATACAGCGCGCCGCGCCGCCATGAGGTTATAGTTCACGGTGAATTATAACGTTTGCAGCGTTCGTGCTTCCTTGACCCTATTGTCTCGAGCGCGGCGCAATTCTGCCGCGATGACAATATTTTGGGGGGGTGCAGGCTGCTGAATGCGGTGAATGAAAACATTTTACGTCTAGCCTGCCCCCCAGCCCACAGTAATAAGTATATTATATAATTCTTGAATGAGGGAAATTTTTGTCGAGAGAGAGAGAGAGAGAGAGAGAGAGAAATGCCAAGTATTTTCGCTGCTATAGCCGTATAAATCGATTAAAAAGAGAAATGCGTACACATACGCGTCGTTTCGTTAGCGCGAACTGTGTTTACCTTTTCGCGAACGAGCCGAGTGCGAACGAGCGTCGCACATCGGTCGATTGTATTTTGTATGGCTCACGTGCGAGTATGTATGCATGTGTGTGTGTTATAACAGCACGTATCACAAAACAGAGAATAAAATTCATGAGAGATTTGAAAAGAGTAACAACACGGGTTATTTCCATTTGCATGACTATATAAGCGTGTGCGCGCGAGAGAGTGAGGAACTTTAACACCAGTGCCTGTGAATACACACGCGACGCGGCGAAGAGGAGGAGGAGGAGGAAAAGGGAGGAATATTGTATAGCTATACAGAAGAGAGAGAGGAGTGCAGCAGTAGCACGGGGGTATTGTGGGGAAAATCCTGTGAAATTAAAAGTAAATAGCTTTGTGTTTCGGGATGCAACGCGCCTGCTGCTGCTGCTTCCAAGCGGCATTATATACCTATGTATAGAAGCATAGCAATAGCAAGATGATGTTTTTAATGAAAGACTATTGTCAGCGCGAGAGAAAGGGTACGTATAGTAGTAGTAGTAGACAACGCCACCGTTGAACCAATTTGAATTCCAATTCTCATAATTGTATTATTTATAATAAGAAGATAACCATCTGCGGATATAAGGGGCTTTTATATTATTTAATGATCGGCCTTGAATTATATAATATTATTATGTCCAAACTAGATTATCGTACAAGATAGTAGGAATTAATTGACAACTGAAGCGGCAGCGTAATAATTCATACATTCTTGAAGTATTTATTTATCAATATTTCGTTGATAAATTTTCTTCGCCTTTTCCAAAAATTTTTGAAAAATGTATAATATATCGCGCATCAATGGACTCGGGTCTATATTATATAGACCACGAGAATTTTTCGTATACGTTCATAACGGGAATATGCAATTTTTTATTAATTTCACTGGGTGCGGCTGTATTTCGATATCAAAAATGATTCTTTCGTTTGATTCAGGTGCGCTGCATCGCGATGTATGAAGTAGTATCCGATCGCGTGTACGTCAATCCAATATTCACCAAAAAAGAGAGAGAACGAAAGAGAGGAGCATTCGAATACACACATACACACTCGCACACACACACACACACACACACACACACACACACACACACACTCATGCACATGAGCATACCTATACGGAAACCCAACCCCCATCACAAATGAAAAGCAAATAAGCGTATAGCGAGCGACGAACGTGCTTGGAGCGTTTAATGTTGTCTTTACCCGTTCTGTCGAGCGAGCGCAATGACGCCGTTCCTGCCCACGCGCGCGTGTGCGCATATTATCGACCTTATACTGCAAAATCCTGCACATTTATACTTTTTTATTTATGTATAGCTCGCTCACTTATTCTCGCCAAATACCCATATGCAGAGAAGAGAGAGAGAGAGAGAGCAAATAGGGCGACGGCATAAAAAAATTCCAAGATCCTTTACAATTGCAAGCCGGTATTTTCACAACACCGTGTGTATGCGTGTGTGTGAACTGTTGCTCGACTCGTTTTAGGCAGAAAAGATGGCTTATTCCATTCGGTGGTAATTGAATAAATGCGATAGCATGTCTCGAGTGGGCTCATTGTAGAATATAGAAATAAGAAACTTTCAAACTTCTGAAAACGTTGTTTTTAAAACGATTTCATAAAGTTATACAAATGCAGTACACGTTCCCCGATTCGACTAAAACATAATAGATTTTTCATTTTTTGCGTATCCGATGAAATCCCGATTTTACTGGAATTGTTAGGATTATAAAAAAAAAGTACAAAAACGCAATAAAAGAAGAATATTCATTTGTGATATATATTCAATGGGAATATAATGCAAAACTTTACATTATCTCATCCGAATTGGATTATGACATCTAGCGGTCGAATTCGAAGCTCATCGCCAATGAGCGCATCAATGGTTTTCTCTCGCTCCACAGTTACTTACTTGTTTACAATCACAAATGTATTTCTCATATCATCGCTCCAGCACAAAAACCGCACGAATCAATTCGACGAACAATGATATAAGAATATTAAGTTAAACATTTTTTCGTCCAAAAATGTAATGTAAGTTTTTCTGATTTCTCACATCAAAGATACTTGTTTCTTTTTGGTACTCACATCTCTTTATGCATTTATTTGTTCTATGCAGGTGAGTAGAACAATATAGTTTTGTAAATTGTTCAAATATGTGTAGACTTTTTCGGAATTTTTCGAAAAAAAAACATAGCCTTCTGCATCACAGGAGTTGGTAAATCTACTTTCTTAATAATCGCGAACGACATATAACAGGCAAGAATAGTTCCGTCTGGGTCGGCTATAAATCATAGTCACGAAAACTCACAATTCAAGATCGACTCAACTAGCAAAGGTATAGTTTTGTCTGGAGAACCAAGACTTCTTCCTAATCGCCACAATGCGAGTAGAAAAAAAAATGAATCGAATTCTACATCTCTCCAACGTTCCAAAAGCTCATCAGTTGTTGAAAGCAAATGAGTTCGCAGCCTTGGCATACACTAAATGCGTCGCTGTTAACTGTACGATATTTTGACGCGCAAACGATAAATACACCGGTGACGATCTGACAACCGATACACAAAAAAAAAAGACTTCCGTATTCCTTTTTCGCGTGTGTTATTCTGCGAGCGAGCCGACTCCTGTATCACGAGAAAGCCGCTTTTAATTTAAAATAAACGCACAATGGAGCACGCGCGGCTGCCACTGCTGCAGCTGCGGATATTCTTTTCTCTGCTCTGGCCGCGCGCGGGGGCCAACTCACTGTCAACGCGAATCATATACAGCAGCGTATCGATGCGCGACGCGTCAACATTTTTTTAATTAAAACGACGCGAGATCGAGCAGTGGCGGTAGCAGTGGCACGCGCGAGGCTACAAATTATCCAATTCCCGCGTGGCCGAGCTAATTCTTATACGGTACAAAGATACGCTGATTTTTTTTCTATATTAATTAATCGGTAATATCACGAAACGTGCGTACACAAAAATGTTTTTCCTTCTTCTTCTTTTTTTTCCAGCCCTTTCGGAGTGATTAATCGGCAAAACTGCAGCGGTACCAGTTGAGTGCCTTTAGAGCGCGATACTAAGAAACATCTGGTTGGAATATACTTTCGTAGTAGTAGGGAAGGTTGCGCTGCAGTCTAAGTGCAATTCGATATATAGCTCGCTCCCTGCGATTCCGCGCGTCCAAAACTTTTCTCTCTCCTCGGTAAGTACCACCCTGTAACGTTTCTCCTTCTTTTTTGTTTTGGCTCTCTTTTATACGTCTGCAAAATTTACCTCAACAACAACTAGAAAAAAAAGTGAAAAACGTACGATATTCTCCGAGAAACTTAAAAAATTTCGTAAATTGGCAAGAGCCCCGCAGCCGACTATACATAATTTCACTCGCTCATGAATGCGAAACAACAAAACGTATACATATGGATATTTTTGATTTTTACATGGTGCATATGGATCGTGCAGGCGACCACGTTTCAAAATATACATTTCGTACTCGCGACGTACACCTACGCCACTACTACTCTACGCACGTATATATTATGAGCCACGTCAGGCACACCTGACGCGTCGCCGCCACCACCACCACCACCACCATCCCATGCCGCAGTAGCAGCAGCAGCAGCAGCAGCATGACGATATCCTCCTTTTGCTCTCCAAAGCTATATCGTTTAACAGCAGCTCTCTCTCTAAGTGCGGGGTTTAAAAATATCCATGGAACTGACGTATAACGCAGAAGAGGGGGACAATTGCCGTTTAATACCGCTCGTGTAATGTTATAAACTTTACGATACGTATTCATCGTGTATTATACGATATAGAAACGGAGGGAGGGAGCGAGAGCGAAAAAAAATAGAATAGGGAAAGCGTAGCCAAATCCCCCTCCCCTGTGCGCGCGGCAAGCTTACTTCTAATATCAGCTTTTTAGCTGGTAAATCCAGGGCGCACATACGCAGATATATACTACATAAAAGTCACAGATTTCCCCGGTGGAAAGTTCATGGCTGATGCTGCTGCTGCTGCCGTTTCTATGTGCGCCAGTGGGTGTAGTTGACTACTGCTCGAAGAGCTTCCTTATATTTTTAAGCATATACATCGGACCACGTGGATATGTATGTGAGAAATTTCTGAGAACTTTGAAAATGCAGGCTCGGCGAAAAAAGGACGGTTTATAAAAGAAAAAGAAAATATATCATTTGTTTGATTCATTGCACAACATTTGATGTATTGAGAATTATTAGAACTTCAAACGATTTTATTCTCTTTTACGGGTAAGGAGCGAGTCTTTGCAAAATATTGTTTATATTTCAGTTCGCGTAGGAAAAGTGAGTAGAAAAACTTTCAATATCCCGACAAAAGAAATAACAGTTTGAAATACTTTATTGTTGTTTACAAAATTTGTAGTATTTATGTGAAAGGTTTTTCGTTGTGTAATCATGTGATTGTGGAAGTTTTCACGGCGCCTATAAGTTTCTGGACCTATTTCACATTCCTAGCGTGTGTTCCGATTATGTACTAAATTTATGTGCCTACTAAGATTACTATTTTGTCCAAATGATTTATGACAAATTTTACACTCAAAAGGGCTTATACGATCATGAACTGCAATTATATGATATTGGAGAGTGACTTTTTGTCCAAATGATTTGTGACAAATTTCACATTCGAAGGGTTTGCTCCGATTGTGTACTTCATTTATGTGCCTACTAAGATTAAATGTGTGTCCAAATGATTTGTAACAAATCTTGCACTCGAATAGTTTGCTCCGTCCATCATGCTCTGCATTTATGTGAGCTGTGAGAGTATGTTTGTAACCAAATGATTTATGACAAATATCACATTCAAAGGGTTTGATATGATCGTGTACTATACTTATGTGTTTCTTGAGGTTTCCCTTGCGTCCAAATGATTTGTGACAAATGTTACATTCGAAGTGTTTGCTCTGATCATGTACTGAATTTATATGTCTAATGAGATGACTCTTTTGTGAAAATGATTTGTGACAAATCTCACATTCAAAGGGTTTCTTATAATCGTGTATTGAATTTAGGTGAGTTTTGAAGCTACCCTTGCATACAAATGATTTATGACAAATTTCACACTCGAAGGCTTTGCTACGATTATGTATTCCATTTATGTGATCTTTGAGCGTATGTTTGAATCCAAATGATTTGTGGCAAATCTCACATTCAAAAGGTTTCTTATGATCGTGTATTGAACACATTTGCAGGAAACCTTTCGAGTGTGAAATTTGTCACAAATCATTTTCAAAAAAAAGTGACCTAAAAACTCACGTGTGTACTGTATTTATATGATTTGCGAGAGTGTATTTGTATCCAAATGATTTGTGACAAATTTCACATTCGAAGGGTTTCATACGATCATGTACTATACTTTTGTGAGTTTTAAGATGTTCTTTTTGTCCAAACGATTTGTGACATATCTCGCATTCAAAGGGTTTGCTACGATTATGTACTGTATTCACATGTCTATTGAGGCCACCCTTTTCTCCAAACGATTTGTGGCAAATATCACACTCGAAGGGTTTGCTATGATTATGTACTGTGCTTATATGAACTTCGAAGGTATCCTTGAGTCCAAATGACTTGTGACAAATGCCACACTTGTAGGGTTTGTTCCTATAATGTACTGTATTTATGTGGATTTTGGGATTTCCTTTTAATCCAAATAATTGTTGACAAATTTCACATTTGAAGGGTTTGCTACGATTATGTACTGTATTTACGTGTGCATTGAGGCTACTCTTTTTTCCAAATGATTTGTGACAAATTTCACATTCGATGGGCTTGCTTCGATGATGTTCCGTCAATATAGGCCCTTTGAGTTTGTTTTGGTATCCTAATGATCTGTTGTAAATCTCACCTTTATATGCTGTACTTTTTTCATTCGCCATAGTGATATTTGTATTTAATATCGCTTCTATTTTATCATTCAAATAATTTGTCTGAATTTGGTTTTCTTCATACATTATAGGTAGACAACTTTGATACTCAGATTTGCAATTTGCCATCGATTCAGACTTCAATTCCAATTTAACATCTTTGCACTCAAAGTCGATAGATATATTTTCATTCGTGTCATTAGTCTTATTATCGCTTTCTATTTTCACATTAGGTAGACAACTTTTATTCTCAGTTTTGCATATGGTTGTCGGTAGAGGCAACAGTTCGAGTTTCACATTTTTGCACTCAAATTCTACAGGTATATTTTCATCCAATTTTTCGTTAAACGCAACAGCCTCATTCTCGAGTTTTACCTAAAATGAAAATTGTGTTATAGATTTGAATAGTGAAAAAACAGAATACATTAAAATCATTGAACTCACAGATGATTTAAAAAACGATAAGGTTTCGAAGTTAGTAGCTCCCACCGGATCGAAATTAACATCGTTGCATGCACCTGTCCTAGCATCGTCTGATTCTTTCTTTACACTGCAGAATAATCGAATTGTATGAAGCGATCGCTTATGAAAATAAGGCACGAATAAAAAATGGTATACCTGACTACGCTCTCCATTACTTGCTCAATTATATTAAATCACTTTGAATTTTGGAAAAAATATTCGAACAGTATTAAAATATTTGAGGTTATGCGCCTCGATTTGTAAACACTGGCTTAAAGCAAGAATTTAGCACTTTGTTAGCGACTGAACGCACTGTACTCGTAAGCAAGGTTACCTCGCGGTTGCGAGAGCTCCTTTGGCGATACTTTCCTCCTCTACTGTCGACAGGCCGTACGCAGTCGTGTTCTGCAAATAGACACTCTTGTGTCATTAAAACTGGCCGAAATTGTAATGAAAATGTCATTCATCCAGGCGCACTATTTGCTTACACATTGTAAGTTCGGTAAATATGCGTGGAGAGACATTCAAAGAAAGAAGACATATACCACTGAAATTTATTTTCAACGTTTTTTCCCTTATCTAATGCGATAATTTGTAACAAAATAATAATAAATTGCATTTTTGCTGTACAAAAAAAAGGAAATTATGTTCTTTTTTAAGATAATTAAGCAAGTTGCGTGTTTCTCGAATATGTATACGGAATTTTAGCTTGATTCTTGAGTGTTCCTTTTTTTATTACCGTTTCAAGTACACTTTAATCCTATTAATATATTTATTTTCGAATTCGCCCAAGTGAAGTTATCTTATAAATTTCAGATCGTTTACATTTTATCCCCCTCAAGTCTAAATAATTTTCGTCCCCAAAAAAGTACGACGACTCGTATCGGCTCAATGTATAATAAATCAACCGCTTAAATTTTAAACTTCTCTGGGAATCACTTAGGTTTTATACACGCGTATATAAATTTATACGTGCCTTCGCGCGAATGCGAGTGTAAGCGCGTAATCGCTGATTAAAAAAAAAAAAAAAAAAAAAAAAAAAGAAAGGAGAAGTGCTTGCGCGGAGGTGGTGCCTGAAAAAAAAAAGAAAAAAAATTGTTCGCACGCGAATTAGAAAGGGTTTAAAAAATCACGCAAACTCGCATTACGGAGTTCTGGCAAATCCTGTATAAACGTATATATATACGTATAGGAATGACAGAGAGCTGCACGGAACGAACGAAAAAAAAAGCGGGGGTATAAGCCAAAAACTGCATGAAAATTCCTGGCTACTGTATAGCGCGCGCCCCTGCAGACGACTATACGTGCACCCTACACACGTTACTCCCGCGAATAGCATTAGTTAATTAGGTTGGGCAGGAGGCGTGACGTTGTAATTATTGCAGAGGTAACGCGCGGGGGGCGCGCGCGCGCCTGCGCCAGCCAACCAACCATCCAGCTATATATGCCTAATGCCATACACTGCACAGGTATGTGTGTATGTATGTGTGCAGTGTAAGTCGTAGGGCTCCGTGTACCGAGTTCTGCTCGAAGCGCGCACTATGCACAACGTGTAAGTTATACAACGCAGTCCGCGCCAGAATGTATATATAACGGGGGATAGGTATATATATATGTGTGTGTGCTATGGTAGCAGTGCAGCTCAGGACATGGCAGCGTAGCCTACCCACCCACGACAAAGTTATTAATTGCTTCCCTCGAATCCCATGCTTCGAGAGAGAGAGAGAGAGAGAGACTGCTAGCTACGCGCCACGCCAAACTTATATATCCGTGCTATCTTCTACCCCCTTACCTACTTCTTTTTTTTTAATATAAAGCAATGTAAAAGTATTTCTCTGCCATTTGGATTCTTTCGGAAGATACTCGTTCAACCTCCCCCTTAGCCAGTATATGCGGGGCCAGAAATTCGGAAAGCGAAATGTATAAATAGTTTTGCACCACTTTCTTGTTATGTGCGTCGGTGAAGACGTACGTTCTAAAGGACAAGAGGAGAAGACCGTACATAATTTTTCTTGTAAATTGAGTTAATTTATTTGGAAGTAAATGATATGAATAATTATTTATCGTTTTTAAGGGTCGTTATGATAAATAAATAAGAAAAAGGGAGAATAATTTAGTAGATGACGATAAACTTGATATTTAAAACTTTTTAATTTACATCACCATTAATTTTCATGTTGCAATTGTATTACACAAATCAGGCCTATTTTAAATGACCTGCAAATAATCATTGAACATTTCAAAAAATTCAGATAAGTTTTCAACCACTTTGAGTTCCATAATCTTACTTCAATCCTCCACCACTAGATGGCGAGTACCTCAATTCTGTGAATCTGCAAGTGGTAATGTCAACATAATGTTATAAGTCAAAATGATAATCCTTCATCTCGAAGGTCCTTGATATCGGAAATTATTCAAATCAACTTCTTCTCTGTTTGATTTGTGCATTCTGTACAAATTACTGTTTTAGTATTTTCGCATATTGACTCGATTACATTTTTATGTAATAAACTAATGCTGAATACACACCTTATTTCTTTCTTGTCTTTCAGAATTATAATCTTCCATTTGTTCAAATTACATCATAATGGGAAGAAACAACACAAGGTAGTAAATTAGTCAACACATTTTTCGCCCCTGTACCCATTTAAATCTTGAGAACCGTCACAGCAATTATGATACTGCAATCACCAAGATGTTTAAAATGATGGACTATATCAATCGATACATTTTGAATGTCAATAATCTCTTTAAAATCACTATCATCATCTGCTTTTAAATTAGCTAAAATTTTAGAATATTCATCACGAATTACAACATGTTTCAATTCTTGTCTGAAATCGTTAGACATCGTTTTCGTATTCGTTTTTCATAAAATTAAAAATGATTTTGACTATTTTTTCGAAAATAGTACTCTCTTCAATTGTGCTTAGATATAAAATGACATGACAATAGAATATTTTGATACTATCTGTTATAAAACATTCTAAATTCTTTATCCTCAGAATAACATTTTTAACATACAATTTTATAATGCATCTCGGCTTAGTATATTGTTGACCGCCTAATGTCGCTGTATAATAGTTGAAACATTCCTTGTAATAATATTTTTAAGGAATGTTACCATTTAAAATACTTGTCAACAATTATACCATCTTCGACTTACACGGACATATAATTCTTTTGGTACGTGCACTTTTGATTTCAACCATTCGATAAAAAACATTTCAAAATTATTGTTTTTGTTATCAGACATCATCTAACTACTAATCGAAAGTGTGTTTAATTATATAGCCTTAACAGATCATTAAATAACAAAATAACATAAAACATTATGCAGTCATAAAATATTGGAAAAAAGGTATACTCGTGATTAGTATGAGTTCATATTACACTCAAAAAGCTTTTTTGTCTGATAAAAGCTCTTTATTCAATGTTGAGTATTTCTATCAAAGTTCCTTCGAAAAAATTACACGCATTTCTCCTGCAACACTACCTTCAATTTGATAAAGTTTTTAATTACCTCTGTATATGCATATTGGCTCAAGGTAGTAAGCACGAAATCATGCAATTTTTTTCAATATCAAAATTCGTGCTTTAAAAATTATCAAAGAGCGATACATGTATTAAGCTTTTAAATGCGCCACTATTTGAATATTTAATCGGGAAACCCGATAATAAAACAGAATTAATCATCGTTCACGATGAATAAATTTTCTGCCCGCCTCACACTCGTGGGGTCGTTTTTTGGTGGGGGGAGGGGGGCTTACTTATCGCAGACGGTATTTTGTGAGGTGCTATGGGTTTAATAATTGACTCGGATCTCGTGATCCGCTATACGGTCGAGCTCGCGCGCAAGATCGAATTTATCGCGCGCCATCGCTCGTGTCGGAGCCTCTCTCATTGTTTGTCTACGCGTCGAGGTTATATATATTTGTGTATATGGCGAAAATTCCGCAGCACTTCACCCTCGTTGGACGTCAAATATATATCCTCGTGATTACCATGTGCCACACGTGTATACACACACACACACACACACACATACACACCTGTAAGAAATTATCTTTTCTACTTGTGGCATTAGTACGAGGATCATATAGATATATACGTAGAAACTGATCTTCGCTCTAGCTTCCAACTTATGCATACGTATTAAACGGTGTCGATTACCGACCCGAACAAGAATTTTCATTAAGCCCCCCGCGGGTGCGCCATGTGGTTAACCCGAGCATTATCGTAATGCTCTTGCTCATAAAGTCTAAACCATACGTAGATATATAGAAACGTACGTACATATCTATGACTTTTCACGTAATATATATTGCATATCGAATTGTTTGATCACACATTGTGTCAGCGAGATAGAAGATTATAATAAAAAAAAGAGCCGAATTTATAATGTTTGTACAACTAATGCGATTGAGCGGAAAATATTTATTCGAGTGAACGTTTTCGCGTTTTAATACTGATTCATCATTTATTGAGATGAAAAATTGAAATGAACGAGGCGAGGGAAATTTTGGTACGTTTATTTTACGAGGATTTAAATTTGATTAAAGGCTAATATTTTTTTGTACCTTTGAAATGGCACGTTTATAACATTCAAGTCAATAGTCGCGTTCTCGTTGTATTTTTTGAAATAAAAATGAAGCTTTATTTTATTTTACAGTTTTGATACTGTACTGATGACATTTATTACGAGCCATCAAATGAATTTTATACTCAACCAGCTCCTTATCAATGAGCTTCATGCACTGTAGAATGATTTTTCAATTTCTTTTTTTTAGTGATAATAAATAATTCTTAGCACTGATGGCAATTTCTTCAATAATATTTTATCATGATTTAGTTTTGTCTCGTTTTGATTCAGTATATTGAATTTTATAACACGATAACTTATAAATATTATGAAATTGAAGTTCCCTAGTTTGATGTGTAATATTACGACCCAATTATGATCAGTCGTTCGGAAAATTCCAAGTAAGAAACATGGACTCATGTGGTTTATTCAGTGGTGTTGTCAGGTAATTTTTATTTCTTGAGAATGAAATGTCATATTAAAATACTCAATCGTAATTAAATATTACAGAGTTAAAAACGAGCCTTGTGATGTGTCGTTTACCGAAGATGATTATAAAACTGTCGACAACACATCCGATACTAAACATTTTCAACACTTGACGTTTTTACAAGGAAATACAGTAAGTGCCGATAATTATAAGCGAATATCTTGGTCGATATTTGAACGAAAATTTACGAATACACTTTAATATTATTTTAGACCCAAAAATTTCAAGAATATGACGAAAATCGAGAAAATGAACTCGATGAAGATATAGAAATAGTTGTCGAATGTCAAGATGTCAAACCTGACATTAATTTATTGCCAGTTAGGAAGACGGATGATTATTCTCAAAATTACTTACGGAATATGAAATACAGCGAAGATTATAAAACTCAACCCACAATTAAAACAGAAACTCTTGTAAAAAAGGAATATTTTAGTGATGAAACAACAAAATTATATTCCGACTGTGAACTCAGAGAACAAAATGAAAAAAGAAGTCCTATTGATAAGGAGCACAGTGATAGAGGTCACATGTGTGCCACGTGTGGGAAGAAATTTTCAACAAAGGGCAATCTCAAAACCCACGTCAACTCGATGCATAATCACATCACTCATCCATGTGACATATGTGAAAAAAAAATTTGCAAATAAGGGTAACCTCAAAACCCACATCGACTCAATTCATTAAGGTATGAAACATACATGTGATGATTGCGGAAAATCATTTACACAGAAATCTAACCTCAATACCCACATCGACTCGGTGCATAAAAATATCGCTCATTATTGCGATACATGCGGAAAGACTTTTAAACGAAAGGATAATTTCAAAAGGCACATTACAGGATCGCATAGCGATGTCACATATACTTGTGATACTTGCCAAAAGACATTCACACGGAAAGATCACCTGAAAATCCACATCAATTATGTGCATATGAATTGTACGTACGTGCGAAGAATGCGGAAAAGCCTTCAAACGGAAAAGTTATCTCAAAATCCAGATGGACTCAGTGCATAATCGCATCACTCATCCATGTGACATATGTAAAAAAAAAATTCGCAAGTAAGGGTAATCTCAAGATGCATATTAATGCGGTACATCATAAAATCACTCATGCATGCAATTTTTGCGAAAAGAAATTCTTAAGTAAGAGTTATCTTAATAAACACGTTCACTCTGTACTCGACGAAATTGCGCGTCAATGAGAAAAGGCGGAAAGACACGCGCAACCGAAAGTATTATCACAAAAGGCACATCGATGAGATCTTCTACGAAAAAAAAATTTAAAGAAAACACATCTTGATACGATGCATCGCACATGCATTACAATTATTGAACGTATAAAATTTAAAGTACACTTCAAAGACTTATTTAAAAATTTTCATTTATTATGATACTAAGAATTTCCTCAGTGTTATCACATTATGTAAAAACATTGTTTGATTCTTATAATGATAAATTAATTAATTGTAAGCTAATAAAATGTTGGACCACTTTAGTCGATGTTAATTTTATAATCCTAGTCACTTTTCAATGCGTGCTTCGCTCATCCTTAGTAAGTTCTGCGAGCTTTACTACCCACTTACAGTTACACAAACTAAGCCGTTTAAAAATTGCTCTCGCTATTAAACTTTTTCAATAGAAAATCGCTGAAATTATCAGCTTCACTTGTGTCAAAAACACACGATTCCTTCCGATTTTTAATCAACAATAATGCGTTTTTTTCAATCCCAAAACTCCGAATACAAGCTCGGTCGAACAATATCCGTTCAAAGCGATATAAACGTGCGGCGCAGCTAAAATTTCGAACAACCCCCTTCCAAAAAAAGGCAACTAAAAAAACTTAATTTCCCTCTATATACGGTATATCTACCAAAACCCAGAGAAGACAAGCGCGAGCAAAGAGAGAGAGATAGAGTTATCGATCATTCAACGGCGTATACGATGGGCGTGCACAGAGTATAGCTCCGCGCGCGTCAAGAAAGTTTCTCTCTCCTCTCTCGCACATTGTTGATTCGAATTCCAAATGCCTCGGCGCAGCGCCGATGCGAGCCACTGAGCTTCGCTTCGAAGAATACCACACCACCGCGCACCTCGCGCGTATATATACGGATAAACGATGTATGCATACACCTCTACAGCACATATATACGTATAGTTTCACATCGTGTGCAGCTATAGCTTCGCGCGTCCGTCTTTCCAGGAGCTTGTTTTAACGGCACCCCACGGCCTTCTCTAATGCCCTGGTGCGCTTCTCCGTGTGCAGTAGTAGCAGCAGCAGCTCTCTCGCTCTCTATCTATATACACTTTTCTCTCTCTTCTAAAGGATCCCCCATAGATAGCCGGCCCGGCCTCCAAGCCGACTTATTCTAATGCAGGCGCGCGCGTTACTGTGTGTTGTAACCACATCTCTGCATGCCTGTATTTTCCCTCTCTCTCTCTCACGTTCTCTCTCTGACACCTCGAGTGAATGCATAAGGTATGAGTTCGCCCCGGCTCGTACTCTCTCACCCACGCACACACGTACGTTCACTTGGACATTGGCATGTGCATCTATATATACCGTACCTAGTTCTATATGCTATTCATACATAGAGAGCTTCGAAACTTCTTCTCTCTCTCTCTCTCTCTCTCTCTGACTTTTTTTTATACGAATATAAGTAAAGTCAAATATCAAATTGCCGTTATACTCTCCGGCTCCTCGCGCGGGCGGGTGATATTCTAATTTTTCTCTCTCTCTCCACGCGCTATCGAGGAAGAGAATCTTTTACTTCGATGAAGAGGTCAAAAATTTATCGCGGCGTTTTACTGGTGGCAACGGCATAAAATGTTTGATATGCTCGCGGGCAAGCGGCGGCGGCAACGGCAACTTATACCCCGGGGAATTTTCACCAACGCTGAATATATTTTGCACAATTTTATCCTGGGCGCTCTGTGCGAGGTGTATGCAGTGCTGCGCGCCAGGAACCGTATCTTATATGTACGTACGCATGAGAAACATTTTTCATATAAGCCTCTGGGCTCTCGGCTATATGGCACTGGGGGGTGCACTGCAGCCGAAAAAATATACATGCTTATTATATTTGAGTGCTCTCGAAATTTAACGGGCGATATGTTGTTATTATTATTATTATTATTATTATTATTATTATTATTATTATTATTATAGAGTAGTCGAGTAGCTTTTTTAACTTGATATAAGATGGACAAAACGACGGTATATAGCTAATACAAGAAAACGAGAATCACGATCGCTTTGCTGATATCGTTTTCGCTCAAGTCACGCGTGATCGCACGCGCCAAAAGATTCAGTTTAGCGGTATTTTTACGTCATCGATACGCCACGCACGTCCGAACGCGTATATCGCAGCCGTATATAACATCGACCTTTGCTGCCAGCCAAGTAGACGTCACCATCGAGTGTACCTACCCATATAGTCTGGTAGTATTGTACAGTCGACTTACTTTAATATATCGGTCGATCGGTTGATAGTTCAGTGGGCCAATATAATTTCGATGGCGACCTTGACCCCCTACTGCACAAACACACACAAGTAGCATCAAAGAACCGACCTAAAAGCTCGCCCAAGATTTTATGTACGGGGGGGGGGGGGNGGGGGGGGGGGGGGGGGGTATCTATAAGCTCTCTTACTCTCGCTCTCTCGTCGGAGAGTCGTTGGTGCGCGCCCGAGTGAAGCCAGACGTTCCCCCATCATCAACTCGAGTAGAAATTCAGATTTTCGTGGTTGAGCTCGTTGCGGTGTAAATCCACGAGATATAAAATGCTGCTGCCTGTATATACTACTCGAGAGTAGTCGAGGTCAAAACTGCCACGCGCCGCGCCAACGATGATGTGTACCGTATAGTAGTAGTAGGTACTAGAAGCGGTCGACCGGAAGATTCGACTAGACACGGCTGCTGCTTGAAGATGACACGCCGCTGCGCTGATCGTTGAACCCGAAGAACTACTACTACCCTCGATAACGTAGAACAAGTGTGCGAGAGAAGGAGGAGGATAACAGGGAAGTATCAAATTCAAGGTGAAGCTGTAAGTAGCTTGTAAAAACGGCAACCTTCTCCCGGATCAAGTAATGTTTTACGACGCTACACTTGAGTGCGGCTGATTACAGTGCTAAGCTCGTTACACCCGCGTCTGAATAATGACACGCTCACTTGCGCACTTGCAGACTTTGGTCGATACGCCAATTAAGATGGCTTGAAAAGTCGCTTTTGGAGAAAGACAAATGCCATGATTAATAACTTCGATATTTTTCCATATGCATGGTCATATCCGACTCATAAAACACTGCATTGCATTGAAACACATAAATCATTTCGATTTATACATTTTTTTTCACTTTGCCACTTGCAGATTTACAAATACAGGGTACTCGCCATCTAGTGGCGAAGGCTCAAAGTGATATGTTATCTTATTTAAAGCGCCAAAGTAACAAAGAAAATTGAGTATTGTTTTTAAAACCATGGTTTGACTTGTATTAATTTCTTCATTTCGACACTTGCAGATTTATAGACAAAGAGTGCTCACCATCTAGTGGTAAAGAAAAAATGCCGAGAAAATAATTTGTTTCTTACTGAAGCATTTAAATTTTAATGTCGGGTCTTCTTTAATATTTAAAGAGCTTGTTTGACAAACGTACGATTTGCGAATTATTCAAAAGAGAGCTAGCTAAAACTCTTGCACTCTACGTCAAGATGTACCTCTCATACACTTGGAAATTTAAAAAAAAGAAAAAGATTAATTTTGCACCTCTTCTAGTAGCTCGTATCAATCTTCGTTAGAGCGTTGAAGGGAGCTCACCGTAATTACCCTTTAATTTCATTGACCACGAAATGCTTCTCCAGAGGCCTTTGTTCAAAGCCAACTTTATGGTTTAATTGAGACTTCTTTCGCGACTGAATAAAATATCTAGTATTTAAGTGTTGACAATATTACATAAAGTGTTATATGAATTATCTATCTTGTATCTCAATCGATTAAGAAACATTTAAAAATTCATCTGCGATAAATCGTTGTATAATTCAATTTTCTAAGTACCGAAAATTTGTTCCATTCACTTTTATAATGTTGTAAGATGAAATAAATTATTCCTTACATGTTAGTTGTACAAAAGATAATTTTACGAATTATTTCCTTGCCAATGCACTGTAGAATAATTTTTCTTCAATTTTTTCATTCTCTGGAATAAAATATCATTCATGGAAAAATACTTATTGTTTGCTAGTTAGAACAACAATTAAATACCATAAATAACATATTCTGACTTAGTTTTGGTTTATTTACATTTGTTTGTCAGAATATTGTACTATGATTTGTAAATATTATTAGACTGAAATTACCTACTTTCATGTAAGACCCAATGATCAGTCGTTCGAAATATTCCAAGTCAGAAACATGGACTCCTGTGGCTTATTCAGTGGCGCTATCAGGTAAACTTTTTTTTTGAATGAAATGTCATATTAAAATACTCAATCGTAATTAAATATTACAGAGTTAAAAACGAGCCTTGTGATATGTCGTTTACCGGAGATGATTATAAAACTATCGACAACACATCCGATACTAAACATTTTTAACACTTGACGTTTTTACAAGGAAATACAGTAAGTGCCGATAATTATAAGCGAATATCTTGGTCGATATTTGAACGAAAATTTACGAATACACTTTAATATTATTTTAGACCCAAAAGTTTTAAGAATATGACGAAAATCGAGAAAATGAACTCGATGAAAATATAGAAATAGTTGTCGAATGTCAAGATGTCAAACCTGACATTAATTTATTGCCAGTTAGGAAGACGGATGATTATTCTAAAAATTACTTACGGAATATGAAATACAGCGAAGATTATAAAACTCAACCCACAATTAAAACAGAAACTCCTGTAAAAAAGGAATGTTTTAGTGATGAAACAACAAAATTATATTCCGACTGTGAACTCAGAGCACAAAATGAAAAAAGAAGTCCAGTTGATAAGGAACACAGTGATAGAGGTCACATGTGTGACTCGTGTGGGAAGAAATTTTCAACAAAGGGCAATCTCAAAACCCACGTCAACTCAATGCATAATGGTACGAAACATACATGCGATGATTGCGAAAAATCATTTACACAGAAAGCTCACCTCAAAATCCACATCGACTCGGTGCATAATGGTACTAAATATAAGTGCGAAGGATGCGGAAAAGCCTTTAAACAGAAAGGTTATCTCAAAATCCACATGAACTCGGTACATAATCACATCACTCATCCATGTGACATATGTAAAAGAAAATTCGCAAATAAGCGTACTCTCAAAAGCCACATCGATAAGGTGCATCATAAAATCACTCTTGCATGCAATTTTTGCGGAAAAAAATTCTCAACTAAGAGAAATCTCAAAGTCCACATGGATATGGTGCATTATAAAATCACTCATGCATGCAATTTTTGCGGAAAGAAACTCTCAACTAAGAGAAATCTCAAAGTCCACATGGATATGGTGCATTATAAAATCACGCACGCATGCGATTTGTGCGGAAAGACATTCGCAAGTAAGAGTAATCTCAAAATCCACATCAATGCCAAGCATAAAAGTAACACTCGCACCTTTGATTCATGAGCAAAAATAAGCAGTCATCGAAATAATCTTAGTAAGCGCGTCGAATCGTCGCCTACCATTTATGCTTGCAACACGTGCGGAAAGGCATTCGGACGAAAAAGAAGTCTCATAGCTCATATTAATATGGCTCATCACTAACATTATACGACGTAATAAATGAATTGAGTCTACCAAGCCCCTATGGGCGATCTTATGAATTTGTAGCAGACTACACTCTAATCTAATTTCAATAGACTAATGAAGAAATAAATAGTTTCTCATTTTATATGTAATACTCTCACTTGTTCAAAAAAAGAATGAAACAAATGAATTCACTTTTTTTTTTAAAAAACAGATACTAACTGTTTATTGTGAATAAATTCAAATATATTATTGAAATTTACGGTTTTCCTTCTTTATATCAATACATTAAAATTGTAAAAAGAACGATTTCCGGATCATCCTTGCTTTAATACTACAGAAACCTCATTCCTCTATACTTCAATTCAAGACAATCCCTCATTATAAATTATTAATTCATTCTTCGCCAAAAGGATCGCGAGATAAAAAAATATCGACACAAACAATACTTCGATTATCACAAGCGACGCGATAAGCACTGTATACATACGACGGCTAAATAATTCCCCCCGACGCGTAAAGTACATAACATTTTGCTCGAAACGCAGAGAGGAATCTCATATCCGTCTGAGACGCGCCTCAATGAGAGAGAGAGAGAGAGAGAGAGAGAGGACGTTAGCTAGCTAGACGTTCTCATCGAGAGAGAAGCTCTCGTAGATAATGTACGCGAGCGTCGGTGTGTGTGTGTGCGTGCAAGCCAGAACGCGATTGTTTGTGAGTAAGTGTGCGGTTGCGCGAAATATTATAGCTCGCTGCTGCAGCACTGCATCGCTTCGACGCGCTCGCGTATATATATACGCTATTTCCGCGAGCAGATTGGAAATTGTCACACCGTCCCGTCCTCTCCCGCAGCAGCCGCAGAGAGAACTAGTCTAGCGCTTGGGCGAGGACGGCGGATATTAGCCGGAAGAATATCACGCATCTATAGCCGGGCTGAACTGAAAAAACTTTTTTAAAAATGTTTCGATCGATATATAGCCGAGCTCGACTGTGTATGTGTCAGGCAAGGGTTTGAGCGCAGGGATATAATACGGAGCGATGGAATTGGAGCCAGAGGAGGTTACTATGTGCTACTATCTATGTGTGTTTCAGTAGTTTATAATAAAGCTTTGATTAATTGTCGTTCGAAATGAATTATCGTGCAACAATTATGATTCGATATTCTGATGAAATGTCAGTAATTTGATACGTTTTTAATTTGATTCTGAAGATGATCTGATTTTTGTTACGTTTAGATGAATCCTCCCTTAAAAAAATTATTGTCTGATCGTAAACGTATTGCAATCAGTCGTTGGATTTCGCGGCGCAAGTATATACTTACGTTACGTAATTGATCGGACTGAATCGATTATTACAAAATAATATATTTCCACCGTTAGACATGCGACATACTTTTCATCAGATGAGCTGAATCGTCACTACTTGCAAAAATTTTTAATCGACATTTAATGATGTTGAATTCTCGTATAAATATGGAAATCAGTTGAAGGGATCAGCGTGCGAAAATGAAGAATGATTCTTGCTTCAAAACAAAGATTTATTTTTATTAGAATACAGATATAAGAAGTAGGTATTAAGAAAATATTGTTGATATTTTTATTTATGTAAAACAAGTGATTAAACCGTTTTTGGCAGTCACAACAAAATTAATACCGGTTTGAAATACATAATTGCTCTGCATAAAACAAGAGGATATTTACGTGAACAATTTTGTGCACCCCTCACGTGACTGAATAAGTCTTCATTGCGTCCATATGTTTTGGAACAAATCTCACGCTCCTAGAATTTGCTAAAATTGTGTATTTCTATTTTGTGCCTTTTAAGATCATTCTGATATCCAAATGCTTTTTGACAAACGTTACATTCAAAGGGTTTACTACGATTATGTACTGTATTCATATGTCCATTGAGGCCACCTTTTTCTCCAAACGATTTGTGACAAGTTTCACACTCTAAAGGTTTGCTTTGATAATGTACTTTCGCAATGTGTTTTATGAGTCTATTCTTGTATCCAAATGATTTATGACAAATCTCACATTCGAAGGTATTGCTGCGATCAAGCACTGTCATTATATGAGTTTTAAGGGTACTCTTGAGGTTAAATAATTTGTGGCACGTGTCGCACGCGAAGGGTTTGCTATGCTCATGTACTGCATTTATGTGAATGTTGAGGGTACCTTTTCGTCCAATTGATTTGTGACAAATGTCACATTCCAAGGGTTTGCTTCTAAAATGTACTACGTTTATATGACCTTTTAATGTACGCTGATATCCAAATGATTTATGACAAATGTCACATTCAAAGGGTTTTCTACGATTATGTACTGCATTTATGTGATTTTTGAGTGTATTTTTGTATCCAAATGATTTGCGACAAATGTCACACTCAAACCATTTGCTTCGATCGTGTACTCCATTTCTGTGAGTATGAAGATGACTTCTTCGTCCATACGATTTGTGACACATTTGAAAGGTTTACTCCAATTATGTATTGTAATGATATGAACTTTCAGGTGACCTTTGTTTCCAAATAATTTTCGACAAATGTCACATTCATATAATTCTTTTTGTTGATACGTTTTTCGACTCAAATTGCACTTATTTCAAACTTAGGTTTGAGTTTTTTTATCAAATATTTTTACTTTCTCGGATTCAACAAGCTTCAATTGGCACTTTTCTTGAAATCGGCTATTATTATCATAATTGAATTCTTTCCTTATCAAAATTATTAGACTTTTTTTATTCAAGTAATTTGTCTGAATTTCGTTTTCTACCTTTACAATAGAAGAACAATTTTGATTCTCAGTTTTGCCGATGGCTGACCACGATTCAGGTTTAACATTTTTGCACTGAAAATCTATGAAAATTTTTTCGTCTAACTTTTCCGGTAATGACATAACCTCATTCATATGATTTGCCTGAAATTAAAATAACGTAACAGTTTTGGATAGTAGAGAACATGATATAATTCACATCATTGAACTTACTGGTGATTTACCAAACTGTAATGTTTCAAATTTCTTGTCTTCACCTGAGATCACCGAATCGAAAACATAATCGTTGCCTGCCTCCGGACAAGCATTCGGCTCTTCCTTCATTCTCAATCTTTACTATTATTAGGGTCGTAGACCCTAAATATTAGGGTTGTAGACCCTAAATACTATAACTTTACTATTATTAACTTTACGACCCTAATAATAGGGTCGTAGACCCTAAATAATAGTAAAGTTTGATGAAGCGATCGCTTAAAATATTATGGCATGTGCAAAAAATGTTAGACCTAATTACATTCTCGCAGCTTTCCATCATTCGGTTGATCATGAAATTTGTACGATACACACTAAGAGAATATTTGAGGTTATGTACTTATAGCAGCCAAGACTCAACCTCGATTTCGACAATTTGTAAACACTCTCACTGAGCAATTCCTCGCTAGCGACTAAACACTATTCAGTAATACTAATTTAACAATATTCAGTAATACTTTTAATTTTTAACCACTAAACACTAGCTCAGTAATGCAGCGTTGGGAAGAGGACTTCTACACGAGTCCGCTAAACTGATTTCTTTATCGACATGGTCAGCATAGCCAACCTTGTAATTTGAACCGTAGCAAATTACACAACTACATGTATTTTAAAAAATGTTCATATAATTTCTACCATATTAACATTGTAAAAAATGTATACGAGTATTAAAAATAGTACGATATTATACGAGTTCTTTGTTGACTATATATTGTTCGTTAACTATTAATGATGGTATGTCTGCGTTAGACTTGCGCTAATAGTTTTTAAAGTGATGTCATAAGTTATATAACATTTCGATGACGTACATAATGACAATTTGAAGTTCTTTGGATATTCAAATTTAATATCTAGAGACCGGTTTGGGGAAAATGTTTATGAAACACTATATAAACACAACGTTTTTAATTGTGTAAAAAAATTTCCGAAATTCATGATTTCAGTTTTAAAAAGTTTTCATCAGAGTGTAATAAAATAGGATCCACAAGAGATACTCCTGATGAGATCGATTTAAATTTCTTACATCAAGTATAATTATTTTTAATCATTAAGAATTTGAAGTATTCTGTGAATAGATCGAGTAAAGGATCTGATGGGTTTTCAAGACAAAGTCAAAAATTTCAATAAAGAATCTCATCTAATTCTTTACTCAGACTAATATTTTTATATCTGCACTTCGCACGTTATTTGTTATAACTCACAAACATAAATGTTTCATTTTTTAGGCGTCCAAACGATGTTCCCCATTTATTTTATAAATAATACAAATTAGGAGCATTCATATGTCACCATGGTAATTTATTTACACGGAGCATCACTTATTTGCAAGTTTATAATGTATGGTATCATCCGGACGATATGAATGTAAAAAAAATTTGTATGAATAACAGAGTACAAAAAAAAAACTGAAGATGTTTATTTAATAATTTATAAACAGAAAGACATAAATGAACATGCACTAATTATATGTCTGAATTAATAATTTAAAACAAATAAAACGCGTGAATTTTATTTTTTATTAGGATATAGTAAATGAAACATTAGGGTTTTAAATTGTGAGGTTGGCTACGCTGACCAAGCCGATAAAGAAATCAGCCTAGCAGACTCGTGTAGAGTCTACAAAGAAAAAGAAATCAGTTTAGCGGACTCGTGTAGACGTCCTCTTCCCAACGCTGCAGTAATGTTAGCGAGTCGACCCTGCGACTGCGATAACTTTTCGGCGAGTGCCCTCTGTGTTGAGCTCCGATGTATAAAGTCACTCGCAAACTACACCGCAGTTGTATAGTCCAGTCCAGTTAGATCTGACTCTATGTTAAAAGTGAAAAAATTCGCAACCGGCGTTTCTCACCGGGATTCGTTAGGGTTCGATGGTAGGAATGAAGTAATAACAAATGCCACAGTTGAGTCGCTTGGAATTTCAACAATTAGGCCCTTTGAAATTAGGAAAATCGGTTTTTCGGCTACAGATTGAAAACCGTACATTTTATGAAAAAAAGTTTCAAACAAAAGTTGTAGGTCCTTGCAAGACCTTCAATTTGACATATATAACATTGGAAATCGGTTCATTTGATTATTAAAAACGCCTCAATTGTCAATAACAACAACAGGGACTTACAGACATCGCAAGAATATCTAAATGGGCTCAAATCAAAGATAATTACTTCTTATTTTGTAATTTATGATAAAAATATGTTATTTTACAAAAATAGAATTAATTATCTTTGATTTGAGCCCATTTAGATATTCTTGCGATGTCTGTAAGTCCCTGTTGTTGTTATTGACAATTGAGGCGTTTTTAATAATCAAATGAACCGATTTCCAATGTTATATATGTCAAATTGAAGGTCTTGCAAGGACCTACAACTTTTGTTTGAAACTTTTTTTCATAAAATGTACGGTTTTCAATCTGTAGCCGAAAAACCGATTTTCCTAATTTCAAAGGGCCTAATTGTTGAAATTCCAAGCGACTCAACTGTGGCATTTGTTATTACTTCATTCCTACCATCGAATCCTAACGAATCCCGGTGAGAAACGCTGGTTGCGAATTTTTTCACGTTCAAAACTAATTTGACTGGACTAGTAATGATAATCATTTATCCCCGCGCACAATTTTCTTACACATATGTGTGATATACGCGGGGAAACTTTCATACGAAGAAATAATTTCTGAATTAACTCCAGTACAAGTCATAATGGCATAAAACGAGTGACATTAGAAATAAAATTCAATAAGACCACTGCTGTATTTATCTAGAATTTTAAACATGATTGATAAATCTTTTTGATGGCGTTGAGCGCGAATTTTAAAGTTCTCGATAATGTGATCGAGTGTGGATGATAATTATTACGTATGGTTTTAGAATTCAATACTTAGATTTAAATAAAAATGGTCCTAGGCGCATTTCTCACGATGATGAACATAAACCTTAATTTTTGATGAATTAATTATGAATTTTTCAATTTAAGAAGATAAAAAAAAGAATGTGGCAATGGTAAATTGTATCTCAGCTCGAAGGGCCACTGGTCCACACACGCAGCAGTCAATCATCCAATTAAGTATGTAAATATTTTAATATGGTACTACATGGCGTTTATAAAAGATTTAAAACAAAAATAACGTATTATAAATATTGAGTTTTCAATAGTATTTGAGCGCACCAATAAAAATTATTGAAAAAAACTTTATTGTTTAATCGTTTACTAGTAATACAGTAATTTATTTATCCGAACATCGTAAATTATTCTTTTTAACGTAATTGTAAAGTAATTTAAAAAAAGCAGAACTTTTATGCTTTAACACTTAAAATATTCCTTAAGTTCTGATACAGATTTTCCGCTAAGATTCTCTGATAATACCCGACATGCGTATAATAACAAATCTCTCATCTCTAAATCCTCGGCTGCTCTGATAAGGTCCGTCAGTTCTTTCGCTGGAACCTGAAACATTATAAATATCATTTTTACTCACTAGATTTTAAATGTGAATTTAAAGTTCAAATTTCCAACTTATATTCCAACAATAAGAATATTCAAAGTTAATATTGTTCAAATACCTTCAAAAATTCTTTATCCCAATCCGTCATTTCCACGGCATCGTCGTCATTTGTTATAATTGGATCATCTTTATGATGAGTAGCGAATTCAATAACCTTTTCTAAAGTTTCAGGTCTAACATTGGGTAGAGGAATAGTGGCATCGAAGGTTTCGTCCTCTCTTACATTTTGGATCTCTGTTTGTACTAATAGTGAACGCTTAGCGATTCCTATCGGCACGTCAACGATTTGTCCGTTGGAACTTTTGAATCGAATGGTTGTTGTCATCTGTAACAAAATTAAAAACGATATAAGTCAAATATTTTGTAACTGTTCTATTGATTCATAAAGATTTCATAATTTTCAATTTTTCAATCACATATCTGTAACTATTGAAAAATGATTATGTAGGTGGGGCTACGTCACCGTCCAGATTTTAAAAATGTCGAAAGTTGTATATATATATATTCCACAGCACCAGTCTATCTACCAATCAGAACGCTTATATAGTTTTTATTTAATTGTATATATTGTGTACTTTGATTAGTTCCATATAGGAGATGGGAGCGAGTTATAGAGGCGGAGCTTATTTTACCACATGACGCGACGATCCGTGTTAAACAATGAAAAATAAAATGAAATAAGTGTTCATATCCGAGAATTCGCAAATTGTTGGAAATTAGTAATGCTAATTCATTCTAAGCTCTTTTTGTTCTGTAAAATATTTTTATAAAAACAATTCTAATAGAGAAAGAAATCATGAACTTATTTTGAAAATTTTGGTAAGTTTAGAATATGTAGTTTCGCTTACTTTACAAACGCTTGATAAGATTAGAAAAAACCATTTCGACACAACACGAGGCTACAAAAAATTACAAAAAAAATTTTATATTGGTATCTGAGATGGGTATAGCAAATACGTAGAGCACTCGGATCATTGACAGCTATGTTTTAAATATATAGGTATACAACCTCTCGTATTAAAACTCTTTCTACTGTCTACTGTCTACGTTCTACTGTTTTACGTTCTACTGCCAACGTATTAATTAGTTATTTTTTGTTAGGCCCGACTCCATCTCCGATTTCAATAGCATAGGGCTAGTGAAATGTACATACGAAATTTCATTAAGATGTGTCCTTTTATTGTAGATATTTTATAGCAGTCGTTACAAATCACCACGTGCTCGATTTTTTTCCACTTTACCCCTAACCGTTTTAGACATAGTTTTTGAGAAATTAATACTGTACGTAAGATGTAAATTTATTTCGAGCTTACCTTGTTCGAGTTAGTACACCAAATATTGAAATTGACACGTGATGCTCGGTCGAGAAAGATCCGTTCAAACAAAGACGATGACTTTTACTTTCGACGTGTTGCTCGGTCGAGAGATTCAAACACATTGAGGCTGTATCTAATTTTTCTGTCTTCCAGAGCCAAGGAGAGAAGAAGTGTATAAGCTTCCTCGGTGGGGGGGNGGGGGGGGGGGGGGGGGGGGGGGGGGGGGAGATGTGGTAGGAAATTTAGAAAGTTTTTGGATACGTACAAAGCCGTTGACGACATTATTACGATAGGCGAAACGTTGAATTAACTTTTTTTACATTCTTTTACATTTTCTTACGTATTATATTCCATGGAAGATGAATTTTATTTATTAAATTTCATTTTGTTATAATAGCAGAGAGCGAGTTAAAAATATTATTGAAAATACGTAAACACAGTCGTACGCGCGCGCTCGCGCACGAGTGCGAGAGAGAGAAAGAGATGTACGCGCGGCAAGTCTCAGTCGGCAGCAGAAACGCTATATATAGGCACTAATATCCCATCGAACGTCGCTAAAGATGTTTGAAATCAAAAAAAATAAATAGATGATTATTGGTAGGTTGAAAAAAGTACACAGTGAACGTTATCAGATTAATTGCGCTATAAAAATCTCATTCTTACATCGATCACATCGATTGCTTATTATAATTCAAAATCTTTATTTTTTATTCATTCGCAATGCGGGGTTACGACTTGACGAGGTCCCTCTGTATCTCCAGTAGACTCTTGCCCTTGGTCTCGGGCGCCAGTCGCAGCAGCAGCGCCGTTATGAACCAGACGAGGCCGCACGCCCCGAGAAACGGTACGGTGTGCCCGTATCCGAAAGTCTCGGCGACCATCAGGTACATCTTGACTCCGATCGAGCAGAGCAGGCCGCCGTTGGTCGTCGCTATGCACACGCCGATGGCCTTGATCTGCGGTGCGAACAGCTCGGATATCATGACGCCCTGGACGGTGAGCAAGCCGATGTTGAAGGCGAACACGGTGAGGAAGATGGCCACCACGGGGATGAATGAGTAGGCCGAGACGTCGAGATGTAGGTACTCCTGGAGGTAGAAGTAGACACCGATGGTGAGATTGCAGGCGCCGGCGAGTCCGCCGGAGAAGGCGACGAGGGGCTTGCGTCCCCAGCGGTCGACCAGCAGAGTCGTGAGCAGCACCGAGATCAGCTGCACGACGCCGTTGGCGATGTTGATGGTGTAGTCGCTGAGCTCCTGGCCGGCGAGCTTGAACTCGAGCTTGCTGAATATCCTCTGGCCGTAGGCCATGATGGCCGAGTAGCCGCACAGATGATAGGTCGAGGAGAACAGGGCGAGAATACAGATGGCCTTGACACTGGCCCGGGTAGACAGCAGCTTCCACATCGGCGTCTTGGTCTTCTTCAGCAGATCGGCCTCCCTCACAGCGGCCTGAATCTCTTGCAGCTCGTCCTCGACGTCCAGCTTGCCCTGCAGCTTCTCCAGGGCAGCCTCGGCCTCGTCCGCCCGACCTCGCATCAGCAGGTAGTAAGGGGAGTCGGGCATGAGGGAGAAGGCAAGCAGATAGACGGCCACGAGGCCGAGATTGATCCAGGCGTTGGCCGAGCCGCTGAGCAGGGGAATGATGACGAAGGACTGGAGCATGCCGAGATTCTGCATTATGATGAGGAGGACATTGGCGACGCCGCGGGCACTCGTGGAGGCGATCTCGCCTATGTACATCGGGCAGACGCAGTAGCTGATGCCCTGAGACATGCCGGCCAAGAATCGCGTAAGGTACAGGATCTGTTGGGGGCGAGATGAAGACGGTCATTGTTTTGAGAGATGAAAAAGAAGGTGAAAATGGATCATTTGTACGAGAAATTAAAATTAAAAATAACCCGCTGTCCTGGACACTTTGTAAGGATAGATGTGAGTAAGTACGACACAATGAGTGGATTTGAGGCGAAAAAAACTTTCGACAACGAGCGGACTCCTGAATATTGAATACAAAATTGTAATCGTTATTTTTATTTAATGAATATATTTGCGACTATAGTATATTTTGTAACAAGTGCGCGAAGCAGTTGACTCACCCAGGAGTCTTTGCACCCTCGCTATGCTCGGGTGAAAACAACTCCTGGGTGAGTCAACTGCTTCGCGCACTTGTTACAAAATATACTAAAATGATCGTGTAAAATAAATGTGTTCACAGTGAAAAAAAACAATCTATCGTGAAATATTGGAATGTCCAAATTGTCCAAATAGGGTTTATCAACTTGAATTTTTCCCAGAAATTTTATTATTATCATCGGATCTTTAATCTTTAAAAACACCGTAGCAAGGTTCTAAGCATGTTGAGAAATAAGGAACATCCAAGATATATAGTGTTTAAGCCACTCGCTGCGTTGCACTGCCCCAAAGCTCTCCTATTTAACTGTCTTGCCGTAATCAAGAGTATCGATCCGAGGGCATACATTTCTGCTGCCTCCACGTCCTATGTACACACTTTCATTCACTCCATATCTTTACTCCTCCCTTTGCTCCTACGTAATTTTGTACTTTGATACACGTTGTAAAGGACAAATATCGATTTACATTCGATAATCGCTTTTCCTTACACACATACACACTCGCAGGTATTTTCTATGCGACCCTCGAGAACATAATGATCAAACAAAAAATTAATCTACCAAACGCCGTGATTTTTCAATCACCTTTTTGAAACGTTATTATTATATTGCGTTATACGGAATAAATTCATTAATCAGCGCAACGACGAGCCACTCTATACCCCGCTCGCAGGTGGGTGATTAATGAAATTTTTGCTTGTACAAATTTCTATAGCGTGACTAGGGGCTGCTGCGAGGTAAGAAGCAAGAGAAAAAAAAACCCGAAGCAAGCAAGGAATATAGATTTTACAGAATTGTAATATTAAACGAGTTGAAAATGAGCGTTAAATATGCACGATACAGCATTACTAAATCAGAGTTCACTTTTCGCACTCGCAAAAGATGAGCCAGCTAGCTAGCTAGTCTGCTGTATGATCTCGTAGCAGCAGCAGCAGCAGCAGCATCAAAAAGGGAATAATAGAAAAATCTCACTGAATTATTTCTCTCGCGCTCGCTCTTTACTCTTCCTTTTTTTTGTCTATATATCGAGCTACTTGAGCGTAAGAAAAAAGCGGCTTTGTATAAATTTTTCGTTCGTTATAAACGAAAAAAAGAAGAGGAGGAAGAGGAGGAGAAGAAGAAAATCCGTGCGCGTGTGCCAGTGAGAAAGAGAGAGAGCGCGAAAAAAAAGAAAGTTTAACGGAGGACAAGAGAGAGAGAAGAAAAGAGCGCGAGAGAGGGGAGAGGAAATAACTCATACCAAGCAGAAAATTCTTCAGGATTTAGTATATAATGAAGAAGCTCGGATCGTCTCTCTCTCTCTACTCTCCCTTGCGATATAACGTAAATTCCAGAAACGTGACCCGTAGATATTTATTTTCAGATTCTCCAAAATGAGAATTCGCGGGAGCACAAATCGTCGGGTCCTTTTTAAAAGGAAAACTACCCCCTGCGCGCGAGCGAGCTTTAAAGCTTCAGCAGCAGTAGTATGCTCGAGCTTGCACGGCTGGCTGCATGTGTGTGTACCCGGCGCGAGGGAATGTCACATAGAGAGAAAGCCAAAGAAAACAAAGGCGCGCGCGTAGCAGAAGCAGATCTATATCTATATGAAGTACAAGTTTTTGCTATGCTCCGAAGGACGCGGTGTGTAAAAAAAAAAAAAAGAAAAAGCAGGACAAGCTCTTTGCATGCGAGAATATCCTATAGTAACTCATATACACAGAGAGAGGTTTAGAAAATGTGATGCGATGGTAGACACGATAGAGCGATATAAAGAGCGTAACGGCGCGCACGACAACACAGGGGCTGTTACATCTCGATCTTAACGCGCGGGGGCGAGAACAAAATAGTCTCGTCAAAGAAATCGAATCTCTATTATACCTGCACGCACCCCCTTCAATTTTAATTAAATCGCTTCCGGTCTCCCTTTGGCTTGTATTCGTGAAAGCGTGAAGGTATTCAAGATTCATTGTAGTTCCCGTTCAACGAACCCCCTTTACGAGTATTTATATATATTTTAAAGTATAATTAGAAAATCTCTAAAAAGCCAAAACGCGATGATTTCATAGTGTAATAAGATATACCCTTGGAGCAACTTCTTCTTCTTTTCTATCATTAATATCGATCTCGTTCTCGCGACGATTCTGCAAGCGCAAAGCACCATAATAACGCGTGCGTATACGCGAAACTTTGTTAATCGATAAGTAAAAGTTTTGTAAGGCTGTTATGAATCAAAAGCTCGCAATAAATTCCATTTGACGCTGCACAATTTCCCAGGTAAAAGCCAAAGCTGTATTGTACACACAGAGAAAACTAAAAGTTTCAACTCTCTATAAAGCAAGCAGCAGCAGAGATGTAAGCATGAGAATGTGTATGAGCACCTGCTACAGCACATACACATGGTTTCGATAGATCGATAAAAAATGCAAGCTCGCGAGCAAAAGCAGCATCGTGTGCCCTCAAGGCGGCAAAAAAGCTCGCTCGGTATCTCTTTAAAGCTCGATGCGCGAGTAAATATAAAAGTTCGTATTTTATTTTTTTTTTCCATCTTCCATCTTCTTTTATTTTCATTTACCCAAAGGTTATCGGCGAACAGTATCATGAGGAGCCAGGACAGGCAGAGAGGCAGACCCGCGGCTATCATGGTGTTCTTCCGGCCGATCCGATCGACTATGAGGAAATTCACGGGCGGCACCAGAGTCTGGCCCAGAGCTAGGAGCGACATCAGGGTGGAGAGCTCGGCCTGGCTGAGCTTCAAAGGCGAGTCCGGACCGGTGAGCTTGACGCTGTTGGGCGAGCTCCAGCCGCCAGCGGCGCCCACGCAGTACATCAGGAAGGAGCCTTGGAAAAAAAAAAACAGAATAAAGTATCGTTGTTAATATTTAAATGCGCTAAATTACGTATAGTATTCGACGACGATGATTTTTATGCAGCTACGGCGGCACTTTGTACAATTTATACCGCACGCTGCGCTGCAGCTGCAATAAGCTCTCTCTCTCTCTCTAGCTCGCTCATTCTCCGGTATATAGAGAGCGCCGAATCGATAATCGATTTTCTCACAGCCACAGCCGCCGTAGCCGTTTCCAGGCCGGATAAAAGTCCATTTGCGCGGCTAATTATACAGCCTCATTCAATATGCGAATTGCTCCCTCTCTCTCAACTCCGAGCCTTTAACAATATGAACCACACGTAGCAAGCAGCTCTCACCGCGTTGGATTATATATTAAAGCTCGCAGCAAAGGCTTGCAAGCACTGCTGCAAGCGCAACTCGTTTTCCTTCAATATGTAATAGCTTCGTTTAAATCCTTTTCCGTTGCTCGCGCGCGCGCGAAAGAAAAAGTAAGAAAAATTGACGCCGAGATCGGAGAACGCGTCTATTATAATATGATTTTTTCAATGGATATCGCGTATTGTCGTCGGTGCTTTATACCGCTATATTGAATAAGTGTGTACCAGTACCACCGCAGACGCATACATTTTTCCTTGCTTCTTTTTTTTGTTGTACAAAGCGGACGTGTTTTTGCATTTATTACCTATATATAATGGAGGAAGAATGCGGGAGAGGACGAACGGGCGGATGCGGGGGGAAAAAAAAGTAAACATAGCCGAAGAAAAGCTTACAAGCAAACGTTGCCAAGTATTCCCAAGTTCGGTTTCCGCCCTCGGGGCTTCGGTACGTTCCTTTCTCGGCCATGTTCTTGTCGGTGTGTGTAGCTCTGGTCCCAGCGCTTCTTCTTCTTCTTCTTCGTCTATATATACACACGCTTGCACACAGACACACGAGGCAACAATGCTCCCAGCCGCAAGCAGTGGTTTGCGCGTGTATATACCGCACACAAAGCCTTTCAAGATAGACTTCTTGTTGCGGTCATAATCAGCCCTCGGATGACCCCGTATTTATATTTGATATGATTCGACAACGAGTCGCTGCTGCTGCTGCTGCGACGCAGCAGAGGCGCATGTCGCCTGTACTGCAACTTGATGTGTATATATATATACGTATATATTTTCTTCCTTAATTACTGCGCTGCACACCGACTCGATCGAATATCCGACTCGTCAGGTGTGCACTGTACTATCGTTATATATATATTTAGCTTTCTAAATCCAGCCGATCTCCTGCCGAACGGCGCGGAGTAGTAGGAGAGCTATATCCTCGCCCCCGACGCAATTTAAGTTAGTGCTGCTGTGGAATTTTTTCTTTCTCCGGAGTTCTCTCTCTCTCGATTTCGAAACTTCTACGAGCTCTCCGGCCAGCAACCGAAGCTGAAGCTGAAGCAGCAGCAGCGGCAGAGAGAGTATTATCAGTTCTCAATTATCCCTGACGTCTACAGTATTCAAACAAATTATCCTTTGCTCGCTCCGTTTGACCATTTGTTCGCGAATGTGCAGTTATATATAGAAGTAAACAGAACTACTTTTAGCCGCTGCACCGAGAGAGGAGGCGCGCGCGCTGCACATTAGTTACGGAACTTTATACATTAGAAGCACTTTTAGTAGGACTTTAAATAGATCGGCTGCCTGCTGCTCTCGGAAAAAAAAAAATTAAAACTTATTGAAAATGCCCCTCTTGATTCATGTCTTGATGGAGTTGCTGCTGTACTACTTTAATTTTTAACGTAAATAATATATGTCACGTATAGCTTAAAAACACTGATTCAAAAATGCGTCTTCTTGTTACGCGAATCGATCGATTACTGAAAACATCGCGCACTTTATTGAATCGATCTCTTTTTCTGCCGAGACAGCGATCGAACCATCGATAAGGCGCGCGCGTGTGTTTGAATTTGGATATTGTAGAAGAGCAAATATGAAAAAAAAAAATCATGAGATCAGACGCGGAATATAATATTTGCTCTTTGCCACAACACCGGGAAAGAACAAAGATTACACCTGTATACATTATCGTCGCGATGATACGGCGTACGATGAGAATTTTTATATAATTTTTTCAATAATTCACAATTGTAAGCGAGTTACGTGCGTACTTTTAATGTAGTCGATGTCGGCTACTTTATTCAACCTGAATTTTGTGTAGAGGAAAAGATTCGAGCACTAATTAACTATCTCGATATTTTCCGTGTACAAAAAAAAACATTTTTTAAATATAGTCTTTTGCTATAAATCATTTTTACATTTTACCAAAATTATTGAAATCGTGTTTCAACTTATACAATTATATGCCCTTTGCCACTTGCAGATTTACGAATAATGGCACTCGCCATCTAGCGGTAGAGTTTGGCTTTAATCATTCAAGTAAAACCCAAAGATATATGTTGCTATACATTTTTCTAAAAGTGTGCTTTGACTTATACAATTATAATCAGTAACGACGAAATTAAATACAATTTTAGATAAGTTTTCCGAAACCTTGCTTCGATTTATACAATTATTTTCTCTTAGCCTCTTGCAGATTTACAAATGAAAGACCCTCACCATCTGGTAGTTGAGGCTTGAACTGGTAATATCGTATTTAAAGTAGTTGAAAACTGGTATACATTTTTTGAAACATTTTAATCGCCGTTGTAAGTTCTTATAATTGTTGTGAAAAAAATCGCCAAAAAATATATCAAACATTTCAAATGTTAACTATTCAGTCGTTAGGCCATTATCAAAGTTGAACATATTACCACGGTTTCTAATTTTTTTTTTCAAGCCGCTTAGTCAATCAACACACTGACATTATACAATTTAAGAAACAAAAGTAAACATGGAATAAAGCATGAAAAAAAGCTCAAAGCTAAAAAATTAGGACAAAAATTTAATACCGTCAAACTGATTATATGCATCAGAACATCGTGTAAAATTATATAATATTATAAATGTTCGCCAAACTGTTTAGAATTGCTCCGAAACTTGATTATCCGCGTTCTCGAGGGATAAATATAAATCCAACAACGAAAATCTCTCTCTCTCTCTCTCTCTCTGTCTCGTGAATAAAAAGACATTGTGAATTTAAATTTTGTGCACTTGGCATATGCGCAAAAGTTGAAGAAGTAAAAAAAAAGAAAGAAAAAAAAATTAAAAACGAAGGGGGTGGCAAAAAGTACACGTATACATACACAGTGCAGCGAGAAAAGAAAGTACGAGCGTGGCAGTGAGAGAGAGAGAGAGAGAGAGAGAGAGAGTTCACAAAAGGCAGTAGTTTGTGCTAGCGTAGCAGAGCAGCTCCAACGACGACGACGAGTCGCAAGGCGTCTAAATCACGCATAGAACTCGACAATACACGCGGCAAACTCTCGCGTATTATATACGTATATGTATGTGTGTATGTGTATGTGTATACGAGAGGAGCATAACGCGAGTAACGCGCGTGCTGCTGTTGTGCCGCTGCTGCTTGCAAGCATACGTATGCGGGAATGGCACGTCGTCGCGAGCTGTGCTGCCGCGCGCCGCCCTGTCAAGGCAGAGCGCAATCCGCGTATATGCCATATACCACTATATGTGTGCGTACGTATGTATGTATGTGTGTGGCAGCAGCACACGCTTGTCAAAACTATTTTCCAAGATTAATCCGAGACACGATGGGGGTGACGATGTGCTGCTGCTGCTGTTGTGGCGCACGACGACGACGACGAATGCACGTAACCGAGTTCATCGCCGCCGAGAGCTTTTCTACTGCTGCTGCTCTTAGTTTATAATATGTATTTCTCTCGCTGTAACTTAAAATGCCGAGCGTTTTTAGCTTTCGATGAAAAAAAAAAAACACTCGAGTCGTGCAGGTACTTTCGTTTGTTGTAAATAGTTACACGAAAGCTCGAGTTGGAAGCAACATGAATAATTACCAATCGTGTATATTTTCGCTCTCGGATCCAATAATCTTCAAAATTAAACAAAACCACATTAATCGCGGTTAAACTCGGAGTTTTCTATTTCTATCTCGATGTCGTAATTGTCGTCGTCGTCGTCGTTGCTATACCGATAAATATGCACAAACGAAATTGATGGAATCTTCTCCCTCGCGGTTGCGTGGCTCTATTTTTAAAGTATAATAGAGAAGTTTTGGTTTATTGATTCGCCAAAAAATGAAACACGTTCGCGAGAGACAGAGTTCCTAATATAGCATATAATTAAACTTTCAATGAGCATCGATCAGGGGTGAATGGAGGGATGAAAATTCAAACGGGCGCTGGGTGACCGAGAGAATTTTGCGCAGCGCATCAATTTCAATATCGAATTTATCAATAGAATTTTTTAATATTGATAAAAATTTTTTAATAAAAGAGGCCTATAAATATTCCACGTACAAAATGAGCAAAATTGTATACATCGAGTCGCGAGCCGAAATTATTATTATCAGTAGAGTATATTTTGAATTGAAAAACAAAACACCGCTCTAGCCTTCTCCCTTCCAGACTTCATAAGTCTATGCTGCAACTTTAGAAATTACACGTTGGTAACTACTACACTGCTGCTGCGTCCCTTACACTCGGGTGGCGGCGCGGAGGAGGGTAAGAGTAGTATAGAGTCGGTCGCAGCAGCAGCTTCTCCTCTCTCCCATCGCGCGCGACTCTGGGAAAAATGTAAATTAGGTTTGTCAAGTGATTTAAATTCCGGCATCACTTGCAAATTCGACCCATTTAGATTTTCATCGCGCACGATATCGCGCCGCACGCCGCTGTGTCTCTTGCTTGGTATATAGTCCTTTTTTTGAAGCAAGTGTATTCTACGCCGCGCGCGTTACATTTTCCTCTCGCTCCACGACCCAAGAAAGACTCGGAGGTTTAATATAATCAACAAGTAGTTCCATTATGCGAATTAAAATAGCCGACCGTTGTAGTTGTGCCACGCAATATTCCCCCCGCTTGTAACTACGTGGCCGCGCGCGTATTATTATATATAATATGGCTGCTACTACTACCATTATTATGGATACCAATGAGCAGCGGAGAAGCTGTGATTTGTCGAATAACTTTGGAACTTGACATAGTCGCAAGTGGTTGTACTGTATAGCTGCTGCTTTACAAGCCCCCGCACGAATCGTTTGCAATTATCTGTGCGGTCGCGAAGACGAACCTCCCCATCGCATAGAGACAGAGAGAGAGAATTCCTGTGGACAAACTTCGTCAAGTATCAAGTCGCACAATGCGGGGTAGATACAGTGCAGCGTAGTGAATAAGGCAGAGGATTGCATCGTCTTAGCTAAGTACACATACCGCGAGAAAAAGATTCTATTGTTAATGAGTGAACGTTTCAGGGATTCACGTATAATTATATGCGAAATTTTAAAGCTTTACTGTTGCGTAAGATCGTTGAAGAAACAAAAGATGAAATTATTTATTTCAATTGAGATTTTTTGTTGCTCTTCAAGTTTAGCGATTGACATATTTAAAAAGGATATTCAATAGCTATCGAAATCGATCAACCATAGTCTGACATAGCTGTCAATCAAAAGTATATAAGATAGTCGTTTTATACCATAATACGTTTTGAAGGCAATTACGCAAGCTCTTTTCCAGGCTTCGATCGATTAAATTATGGAAAAATCAGAAATCGATTGGTTTGATTCCATTGTGAATATAACTGTGTATGCACAGTAAGCGTTCTTATAGTAACTTTGAGCTTCTTTTGCCGTTCGCGAGTTTTTGTTGCACCATCTAAAAGTAAGTCTTGAAGTACAACCTAATATTCAATCAATTCTGTTCAGTCAAAAAAATATTTATATCTATTCGACTACAACTTCATTACTACGATTACACTTTTTGCGAATTATTTTTTTCTCCATGCGTGCACGAATGAGTCGAGTAGGATGAGCTTGTACAACGCGCATCAACGAGCTACGAGCAAAAAAAAATAATGTTCAATGCAGTACGCCACGAGCGCTAAACATAAAAAATATTTTCATGAAAACTTGGTCAAAGTCGACTTTTAAACCGCGCGGCGGCGTCGGCGGCGGCGGCGGCAACTTTGATGGATATCGTATACACCATGGCCACTGCGCTAAACTTTTGTAATATTTACGGAAGGGTCTACATCGTCGGAGCTTTATATACAAAAGTAGTACTACAAACTTGCCGCGCCAAGGGGTAAGGTATAAGTTTAATATACAGTGATACCTTACATAGTATACCTTGGCTCTCGCGCGTGAATGATTACGTTAACATTTTCTATACGCTCGTACAGAGAAAGAGAGAAACAAAAGTTTATTAAATTTACCGATTTATCATTCGCGAGAGAGAAATTAATATCGCGCGCGGATTCCCCGGGATTTATAACGATTCATCGTAAACTGTGCAACTGCTGCTGTAACGTTTATTAGGGAATTGTTGAAAACTAATAAATCGGCGTACTTATTGCAACGATAACGAGGTACAAATAAGCTGACGACGCTCTGCGCTCTCTGTATATAGTATATACCAAAGTCGAAGGCTTTACTCGATTGCCTATGCTAGCAGGCAGCGCGTCATAATCTTTGCGAGTTATTTTGACTAATTATAGCTGAATATCCGCTGAATGTCGCTCCATGAACAATCGTTGAAATAGCAAACAATTTTCAACTTTCAAAATGAAAATTGCGCAGTCGATGGGGTGTGTGTTCCGGCGCGGCGATTTAGGTCACGAAGAAAATTTCTGCGCGCTGCAGTCTCGAAAGTTGCGCGTTGCCCGCGCGGGGTTACAGAGAGTAGTTATTAATTCTCTCACCCCGGTGTCAGGACAAATTACATTGATAGCAATAATTGTCCGGCTGCGCGGGTTTTTGATAGAGAAGCCAATGTAAAATATTAAAGACTGGATGATGATTGAAGTGCGTTAGTTTTGAATGTTGTCTTTGAAACAAAAATTATTACATGAATAAATTTCATTTCAAAGATTATAACTACCGCGCCATCAAATGCATTTTTCAAAATATCAAAAATTTCAAGTATCATAACTAAATAATTTAAGATTTTTTCACATATAATGCTATCAACAATTACATTATTCATGAACAAAATTTTTTATTCAAGACTGAGAGAAAAGAAAGTTTCTTAGAATAAATTATTATTTAACTTTTTCTTTGAGTAGTTACAGAAAAAATGTTTTAATAACTAATAAAGCTTCTAGTATGTACAAATAAATTTATCTCTCACTGGTGTTGTGTATTTACAATTTAATAGTAACAAATCGTTTTGTTAAAAATCAGAGACTCGACCCTTTCTTTCCCAATCTCCATATCTGGTTGGTTCTGGGCCCCTTGGACCACCGAGTTCTCCTGTTGCTGGGTTTACACTGTTGGGAAAAGGTTCCAGCGGCTCTTTCTCTTGATAGGGATGTTGGCCCTCTTCGAGTTCCTCTATCCCCTCTGAAAAGTATTGATAATTATGATTATATATGCATCAATTGCTACAGTTTATATAAAAAATATCTTACTTAATGGAGCTCTGGCCCGTAGTTTGTTTGAATCCACCAGATTTTCTTTTTTATCATTATCTATAGCAAAACCACCTATAATAAAAATAGTTTGTGTTATGTAAGACTCTTTATACACTATGTTTTTAAAAATTTTTTACGTACCTATAGGAGGTTTTTCTTGCAACTTTTTCCTAAATTCTTTTAATCTAGTGCTTTCTTTTGACTTTTCATTACTTTCAGCAAATAGGCTTGATTTGGTATGAACTAATAATAAAATAAATGTTTTAATAATCCATAGTGATGTAATAATAATATAACTTGAGGACTTACTTTGGCAACTATTTACTAAAGTACGATGATATCTCAATGTTCTGCTCAACATTTTCTGTCAGTCTGCGCTATTCTGATAATATTGATTGTTGACTGTAAAATTAAAACTTTCATAAAATATTCGCCCTTTTCAAGCAATAACCTTAATATATCAAAGAGATCTTAAATCACATTATTTTTAATCAATAAAATCAAAGAAGTAAATAAAATAAATAATTCGTGAAAATATTAAGTAAACTGAAAATCCAATTGATTTTAATCACATGACATATTGAGCTTATAAATACACCAGACATATTAATTGACAAGTCCTAAAAAAAAGATAAATATGTAAAAAGAATTAAAACAAACCTATTGGAAATTATGAGGGATCGATTTTCTAATGATTAATTTATTTATTCATGAAATAGTTCATGCAATATTCATGTAAACAATACTGAACGTCAGTGCACTGACTGAGCGACACACGATTTTCTTGCAACACATTGCATCTTGGAGCGCTTATCGAGAAGCGGCGGGATTCGGAACTATCGCGAAAAAAGAGAAAGCGCAAGCGCTGAAAAAGTCAAAACTTGACAATTTGACATTATAAATTTGAAAAAAAACCTTCTCAGCAATGTCTTATTTGAGAAAATGTTAAATTCCAAGTATATGTAAATTTTTCGGCTTCTTGAATGATAAGTTCATCGAAATTTAAGATAAAAACTTGTTTTAAAAATAAATATTGAAACTGATTTTACTTATTAGGTACCCAACATTGAAAAAAAAAAAAACGAATAAACTATTAGGCAAACAAGTGGACAGCAGGTTCAAGCTTTTGTAAGATTGTATAATTAATTATGAGGTAAAAAATAAGTAACATTCGTGTTAATGTGCTAGAAATGTATTTAAACATTGTTTTATTGTTCATTAATATCTAATTTAACTAATATTTCACAATCGTAACAAATTTTATTATAGTTTTATTTACTGAAAGTTTAACTTTTTCGGATATGATTTGAACTCAGTAATCATAACCGAAAGAAGCTAATCCAATCATAAAATACTCTGCAACTTATTTTTTTTTGCTGTATTACTATACTTACTAATATAGTAAACAGTAGACAGATCCTCGAAACACATATGATAACTTAATTATTAACTTTATGTACGTTAATATATATTTTGATACATTTAGTCATATGTTTATGTCAATCGTTTGCTTTAATTTTAGAAATTACTCGTCATAAAGCATTTCACATAATGAAGGCAACTGTAATTTACATGTATACAATGGTCCAATGTACACGTTACTTACAAAACTAATACGCGGAGTTTTATTACAAATGAGAAATGAAATATACCATGAAAAAACAAATTGTGCTCCAACTACTTAACTGAACGATGAAAAAAATTTTTTTAAACTACTTCAGTCTTTCAATGCCATCTGCATTCAAGAACTCATGATAGCATCCTATAATACATCAAACAGCAATTTTGATAAATTTTAATATAATATACAGCTATGTAATGTACAAGACTATAGTGTTTTGTTAATGGTTAGTACATCCCGCATCATCATATTTCTCAAATTCCACAGGGCATTAACCACATTCCCATGATTGCCCACACCATTACCTAACCATTCTGCTGGTAGTTTTGAAACTTCGGGTGTTGGTGTATTTTCTTGTGTTGCATTGAGCTGTTTATCCCAATTGGTAACATATCGATTTTCTGTAGTTAAACCTTCAATGTACCTATAAAAAATGGTATAATTTTTTTAGTAATGGAGTAATGGATTAATTTTTTTGTTTCCGTAACAGATAATTAAAAGTACAAAGTGTATTGAAAAATCAACTGATATTACCTTAAGTAAGCTTCTGAATGTAATACGCGACTCGGACGAGGAGGTACAGCAATGAAAAGATTTTCAGGTTGTTTGGCGACAGGTGCATTATTTGTTTGTGTAGCAGCAGCAGTCGTTTCTATAAAATGAATTCAAGTTTTAGTATGATTGTGAGAATATAAAAAGATACTGCGTAAGTAAAAAATCTTACCTGCTTCCATAGGAGAGGATAACAATGATGTTCCCTTAGAAGGTACAAAGTTTCTGAAAGTATTGAAAAAATATGTTACGTAATGCTTTTTTTTACCAATTTATTCATTGATATTATACAAAACACTGTGTTATCAGATACATACTTGCTCCTTTCTACTGGAGGAAGGTACTTTCCATTGGACTTTAATATGTGAACTTCTTTTACATGTCTTGCCAGTCTTTGTACACTAGGAAAGGGAGGAACTGGTTTTTTCATTCTACCACAACCTCGCCATTGACATTGATACTCAATATCTAAATAAAAAATATCACAACTTGAAGGTTTTTTTTCAGAATTATTAAAAATATTTAGAAATAAGTACTCACCGGTGTTATTGAAAAATGTTTGCACATGGCCACCTTGTTCCGCGACACTATGTTCTATACAGTCAGCCATATCTTCAAATTGGTAGTCACAATTGTCCCAGCAGCATTCAAATATTATATCTTGCATTTGATTAGCAGATAGTGTACCTCTAACTGGGCCACCTTCGTCGTTCAATTTTGAAGCTCGTTCTTCCCACATCGATTTTTCTGCTGGAGTCAACTTTCTCCACTATAAAAATAATTTTATTATTTATCAACAAAAAATCTTATAGACATTTTTCAATAATAACAATTATAAAACAACGGTACAGCGCCTTTTTATGTTGATTTTTAGTAAATTACCTCGTTTCCAACCATTCTACTAATTTCTCCAAAAGTAGAATCTGGATTATTTTGAGTAATGGTCGTGCGCATTTTGCTCGAGTACATTATGTAGCCCGTCAATACTTTTCTTCCAGGTGTTTTCTAAAATTAAAATATAATTTAATATGTGAATGTAAAAGCGTGAATGGCGCTATTATTATGGATAATGAGTGAAGCCAACGACGAACACCCTTTTTTAATTTCAACTATGACGCTTTTATATGGTACACTGACAATAGCTAAAGTTTTATGCTGGCATATTTCTTTCTTTAAATTAAATGCCTAATAAACTTATAAGTACGTACGTCGCATAGATTCATGTACAAAAAGCTTACGCAACAGTAAAAGAAGTGACTAAGCCAATATTGTTGATAATTATGCAAGTGAATGTTAAAGTAACGATAAAAATAATAATAAAGCACTAATATCTCAATTGAAAAAAGATTGTTCGGAGGGCCCAAAAACCTACCTTCTTTGACGTCACGGGCGTATGGGAGTTGGAGAGCACCGGTTGAGTATCCACGGAGCTTACCGATGGTGGAGCATCCAAACTGTCGTCTCCGATACCTAGTACATCCGTTTCCATCTTTGTTGTGAACGGTGAGCCATCCTAATATACGATTCAGGTTCGGTTACGTTAATTTACAAGGTCTAAAGGGAACGATTTATCTATCGCCGCGTTTACTTAATTAAGGGATCGAATATTTTTTCGCGAAGGTACAAGGTGCATACATCTTAATAAATTATTTTCCAAGTTCAATTTTTCACTATAGGGCTTATGAGGCACCTTCAAATCGATTCTTTTGATTACTTTTTTGAGCAAGATTTTTTCTTACCACAGTATTTTCAAAATTAAAAAATTCTCATTATTCGTTAGCATTAAAAGTTTCATAAGAAACTTTCCCATACTGTAAATTTTCTACTTTTTTCAGAAATTTTCCAAACTTCGTTGTTACTTCTCTATTCGCAATAAGAACTTTTTAATTTTGAAAAATGAGTTAGAAAAGTACTCTAATGAACCCAACAGGTGCTCTTTTGATTTTCAACACATTGAAAACTCATGTGCGAATTTACTATTACTTTTGATAATTAAACAAACACAATGAAAAATAAAATATTAATATGCCGGCATAGTACTATGCATGCACAATCCAAATTGATGTTGCGAAATTAAATTTATTTCAGCTTAAGCATGTTATCTCAACGTTTGAAGAAACTTCAATATTATATATTTTGAAAAATTATAATTTTTCAACATCAACGTGAAAATGATTTGTTAAAGAAGCATGCAATGGCGAATATTAAGTCACTTGAATAAGATTTAATTTATTTTCATACATACCATTTCGTATTGGCTAGATGTTGATCCAGTGGACTTATTGTGACTCAACAAATGAGTGGGATCATTTGGAACCTAAATAATAAATAAAATGTATTTTAGAAATGGGCAGATTATTTAAATGAAAAAAAAAATTGTTTTTTTAAAATTGCAGTAACAAAATTACCTTAGTAGGGTTAATTGGTTTCCGGAAGAAATAAATTTCGTCCGTCATCACTTGCTTAGAATGATTATACTTTTTCAAACCATTATCGTTAAGTTTCTTAATCATGCTCTTATTTTCGTCAAACAGGGATTCACATATGAAAACATCGTCCTCGGGAATTTCCGTTGGCCGACCTAGGCAAAGTTAAATTATTAATTTAAAAATAATCAAATTTTTCATAAGTTTTTAGTATTTTATTAAAAAGTATGTAACTTACTGCAACTGTATTCTCCACGATCAAGTACTGCACATTTTCCCACAATAGCAACAATAGGATGTGTGGCATCAACTGTTGATAGAAACATTTCTTGCTTGTAAAAACATTTTGAAGGTGCATGAGTAACTTCTGAAGGACTGAGTATGTATGGTCCTTTGAAATAGCATTTATCGCTAAAAAATAGAAAGTAATAGGTCAGTAAATTAAATGAATATTTACAAAGCATATATAAAATGTATATAATTGAAAACATACTCTTTTGTTGACCATATAGAATCAACTTGAGCCACTTGTTGTCTTCCTCCATCAGTAGCTACATAGACAAAATCACCCAATTTTACGGGTCCAACACATGTATTATATTGTTCATAATAAGTGTTATCTGTATCATTGGGATTGAAAACCATCACATTCTAAAAATAATAATTTTATTCATTAAAATAAATATCTGAGTATAAAAAAATATATGATAACTATAATCAACTCACTGGTATATCCTTCTCAACTAACTTCTCTCCTTCTTCGAGTTCAGCAATTTCTTCTTTATGTTTTTCTAGTCTATCTTTGTAAACAGATATAACTCTCTTTGGTTCTAGTGGTTTTTCTCTTAATACAAGCTTTAAATGATCAGAATCAAAGTTCCAACTCTTAATCTTTTTAAATGCCCTAACTTTTGTTGAATACCTTGATTCGCAAACATATACATCTTTTTCCAAAAAACCTTCGGGCAAACATCGAAAATAGTCTTTCACATTCAAAACACAGCATTTTCCAGAAATTTTCGTTATCGGTACAGCAACATGGGAATCGCTTTTGAACACCTCTTTATCCAAAAATTTTCTAGAAGCCACATGGTAAGTCTCACTTGGACGATAAAAAAGATTACCATATAGCATTTGCTGTCCATCACTGTTTGTCCAAAACCTTTCAATAAGAATTATACTTTTTTCCATCCCGCGCTCTGATGGCTCTATGTAAGCAAAGTCACTAGCTCTATAAGTTTCTTGGTTGTAAATTATTGCACCTCCATTGTCACTATTGAATATACTGTTATTTCCATCTGCATCCTAAATAAAAATAAAAAAAATTAATGTAATAAGTTTTCATAGCACATATTGACTGTTACAAATGTTTAAAACTTACTTTATCATTGGCATCACAGCTTTCATCCTCATTTGACATAGTTGCTTCTTGTGTTGTTTTGATTTTCCTCAATTCTGACACTTGAGCACCAAATTCTAAAAGAGTATAATTTAGAGCTGAAGAATGTAATAAATCACCATTTTTAGTGACATCATCTCGAGTCTTAATGAAGAAAGCTTGTAATTCAACACTGTCTTCAAATGGTTGTGAATCCGTTCGGGATAATTTTCTGGCTCTTTCTAAGCAATTGAACACATCTTCTTGAAAACGATCAAGTCTTTTATATACACCTTTATCTAAGCGTCGTTTAATTAAATCCAGGGACAAGCCTCGTACTCTAAAAAACCAAAACGACATTTTTACAAACAAAAATAATAAGAAAAGACTTGGAAATAAAAGTATTAGAAATGTATGTACTTTTTCCCATCGATAATGTCATGCTCTGGTAATTCCGCCATTGAGTCTGAATAACAACGCCCTTCATTATCTTGATGGTTATAAGTAGCAGTAAAAATTGAAGCTAAGATTTCTTGAACAGCAGCAGCAACATCAGGTACGCTGTCTTCATCTTCGGTGAGCTGTAATTTGTTTTGCAGTACTAATCTTTGCAATGTAAGAGCATCCTACAAAAAAATGCATAAAGTTAAAATTGTTCCCTGCTTCACCTTGATTATTATATTCATTAAATGTTGAATGCTTAAAAAAAAGATGCACTGTTTGTGCAAAATGAAGCGAGAGATTGACCTATCAAGGAAGTAATAATAATGTATCAAGGTTTTAATGAAGTAGTCTTGTGCAGTGGCAAGAGCAAGTTTCGCACGTATTAAAAGGTAAAAAAAGAGTTGTTGCCTGCCTCATTTTTTTTGCATTTTTTTCTCATCCTCTGATCGACGTCCCTGTCTCGCATCAGCTTGACGGCACTGGTTCTGGCCGGTTCTTTTTTTACGTCGTCCTCGACATTTCTATAAGCCGGAAGCATTTCCGTATCGTGGGAGGCCAACATTGTTTAAAGTTTAATGGAAAAATGTAGAACAACGAAGGAGGAGTATCGAAGCTCGACGACGAGTCGTGTGTGTGTGTGTGTGTGTATGCGTGCGATAGAGAGGTTTGGGCGCACTCACTCTCTCACTCAGTCACTCTCTATATAATATACTCCCGCACTCGCGATCGTCGTCCCACACACAATGGCAGTCAAAGTAGCACTTGGCTAATTCAGCCGATATAAAGCCCAAAATTGCGTCTCTCAACGTCGACGGCGACGACGTCGGCGGCGACGACTGTTTTCATCGTCTCAGTCTCGCGTGCCGCGCGATATCGATTTCCGAAAATTCGGGGACTGCACTGTGCACGCAGTGAGAGGAGAGAACGCGGAGAGAGTAGAGTTTGTTTTCGTCTATATACGCACGGAGAGCACAAGGGACAAAACGACACACACCACAACCGACTCCGAAAGCGGTGCGAACATTCGCGAGACGAGAGCACACACTGTGTGCTGTGCTCTATGCAAACTGCACAATCCGTGTGTATGTGTGCGTGCGCGTGTAGTTGTAGATAGCGAACACTCAGTCGTCGGGTAGTCGGGTTGCCAATTCCTGGAGAGAGGGAGAAATTTACCTTCTTCGCGATAACCTTAAAAAATTTTTGCCAACAGCTGTGCGCGCAGAGCGCAGATTTTAATGAAGCAGCGGGCAATTTAAAACTTACTGATCGAATAGATAGATTCGGCGAAAATGCTTATTTATGAATAGGATTGAATGAAAAAAGGGTAAATTTAGATTCGTTCGTAAAAGTTTTTCAAATAAAAATTAAATTCTTTGTTCTAGTAAGCGCTGAGAACTATTTTATACTTACCTATTGTAAGACAAACGGCCCATTTTTAGAACGATGTGTCTGTTATGAATTTTTTGAACTTGGGAATGTTCTTAAGTGAATGTTATGAATATGAGATAATCAAATGGATTCAAAAACGTATTCCATAGTTATGAAACAAAAAACGTTATGTCCTCAATATAAACTTCAAATTAGTTTTCTGAATTTTCTACCGAATATTTCTCTAAAATACTCTATGAAATCTTAATTTTGGTGTTCTTATTGTTCCCAAAGAACATTGTGGAGAAATATTCGGTAGAAGTTTCAAAAAACGCGTTGAAATATTTTAATTTTCGGTCTTCTTAGAAAACATGAAAATTTAAATTAGCTATGATCGTTTTATGATAAGGATGTTGGGACATAATATAAATTAATCATCAGAAGCGATAATTACTTAGATATTAAAATATACAAAATGTTTATGATTCTTAATTTTGAAATGATAAATTTGTTGAATCAGATCACGTAAAAAAGGGGTTTTAAATAGGGCCGTTCTTTTACATGAGGACGCATACATTTTAAAAATATTTTAGTCTACAAGACTGAATATTTCAGTTATTTTCAAAATCAATGTTTAAAACGATACTTCATAAAGTTGAATAAATTTTTTGTCATTCATCACTGAAGTTCGCATGAGTGACGTAATGAAATCCAAAACAAATATAAGAATATATTTTCATCCTTGATGATGAAGTTAGTTCATTTCAATTTCAAGCCACTGCTTACTCATCTTTAATTAACAATCTATAATTTTTGATAAAAAGTGATGCAGTCATTGGAACCATTCATCTCAATGTGGGTGCGGATATAATTTGTTTTTTTAATAAAATGAGAAATTTTAATATAAGTAAAAGACTTGAACAAGCACTGCACAATATAAATTCTCAAATTTAACTACTTTTTTTGAAGCATCTTGCGAGTTTGAATCCCAGAATATAACACAACATTATGCCTCGTTGAATGTTAATATTACGAAATACTTGCCTGTTCGAGCAATAGACTCTCTCCTTGATTACTCTCTATTCTCGTCAAAATCTTTATAGCTTACAAAATATATGACTCACCTTGTATATTTGCGAATCTGGTTCGTTGTATTTGCAAGCATTATCAAACATCAATAACAAATCAGCAACAAGTTCATCCATATTGTCATAAGCATTCGCTTTTAAATTAGCAGCGATCTTTTCCATATGAATTGGATTCTTGATAACTTCGTAATAATCGGGATACTCTCTAATATTTGGCAATTTCATAAATATAGATGATAATTGTCGTCCTTTGGCATCACAATAATCTTTAACTGTATCGTACATGGTACGCAATTTTTGCATGTGTAAAGGCACCACTTTTTTGGGTCGTCTATAAAGTATCATTAATTTGAAAATTAGTTTAATTTTAAAAAATTTGTCATAAAAGAATTTAGCCATTATTAACAATTGAAATGTTCTTACCCAACATTTCTAGTCGGCGTTGAAGTTTCAGATTTTGTTCTGTGCATGTAAGGCAAAAACCCACCAAATTCTTTGACTTTTTCCATCAATACTTTTTCAAGCATTTTTGCATCGTCGTAAATTTGTGATCCTACTTCATTGTATTGTTTACAGTTTTTAAACATAAGCTATTGGAAAGAAATGATAAATGAATAAAAATTAAATCTATTAAATTTTAAAAGAAAATTTAAATTGTTTTTAAATTTAATTACCTTCAGATCTTGAACTAGTTCGGCATCAGTGTGATATTTTTCAGATTTAATATTAGATTCAATAGTTAACATATCCATTGGTTCAGCAATAACTTGATAATAATCCGGATAATCTCTCTTTGAAGGTTTCTCTAAAAACATCATTATTGGCTGCCTTCCATCTTCAGTCTAAGAATTATAATTATTGTAATATAAAAAATTATTTTAATGGTTTTGATGATTGTATTAACATTAACTTACGAGATGTTCCACGACGCATTTAACGAGTTTGTGCAATCTTTTCTTCAAAGGGATATTGTCTTTGTATTTTCCTCGAGTAAGTAAGTTCGAAGCTCTTTTCATTAGCCTAGGATGAGAGTGAATTTCGCTCTCTTCTTCGGATTCAGACTCCTATTAAAAATAAAGTAAAAATAGTTTCAAACAAAAGTAAAAAAGGTACATATGAAGAAAAGTATAATGGTTAAATTTTACCGGGTCCAATTCTGATAACTCTTGAACTTTTTCTTGCATTACTTTTTGTAATTTGACAGCAAACTGAAAATTACATTTAAATAGTTAGTGGTGAATGTCAAGTCTTAAACTTAAAATGATTTCGAATATTTTTAAATACCTTATATAATCTTGATGTGTGTACATTATACTTTTTGGCATTTTCAAAAACTAGATTCATATCTGCAGCAACTTCATTTACAGTATCATAATCACCATTCTGAAATTGTAAAAATTATTTACTTTTATATGCTTTGTTTTGAAATAATAGTTGAATTATATTTACCTTAATTTTTTTACGAATTTGTAATAAAGATATTGGATTTTTTATCATTTTATAATAATCAGCATACAACTGTTTTGATGGTAAAGTCCAAAAAAACTCACTCATTCGCAAACCTGAAATTTTAATATAGTGAATAAATACAAGTATAAAAAGAAATTGATTTAAATATGAATGGAAAAAGTTTTAAAAATCTCAATGCAACATTACTGCAAATTATGTCATTAAAACTTTTTTATCAAATACAGTACCTGTATAGTCAGGTAATGTACCTGTATTATTAGGAGCAGTTCGGATTGTTTGAAAGAGTTGCCACTGAGGATTATCACTTTCTTCAGTATCTAATGGATCTTCTTCCTCATCGTCACTTTCTTCATCTTCATCTTTCATTGCAGCTGCCTGTGCTACTAGAGCATGAGTTGAACGACTTCCTCGTTTACCTCTTACAGATGACTTTAATCCCCCTCCATCAACACTTTTTTTGGTTGCTGCAGTAATTATCTTCTTTAGTAATTTCGCATCTTTATAAATCCAAGAACCAGGTTCATTGAAGTTACATGCATTTCGACACATTAACAATAAATCCCTCTCTAACTCGCCGATATTATGGTAAGAATTGTCAATAATTTTTGTAGCAATTGTTTTGAGATCAATGGGATTTTCTATAACTTCATAGTACTCTGGATAAAGCTGAAATTAAAAGTTGAGATATTAAAAACATTGAATAAAACAATAAATTTTAAAATATTGTAACAATCATGACTTACCTTTCTTGATGGTTTAAGAAGAAATGGGACATTAAGAGTCCTTGTACTATCTGCAGGATCTGTAGCTAACATAACTGTTGCATATAAATCTTCATACGCTTGTATATCTTCATCAGAATTTATCGTATTTTCTATTGCATCATCTGCATCGTCATGTCTGCTAATAGTTTTTCTTGACTGAAATGAATTACATATTAGTTTTTAATATACCTTAGGATAACCTATTTATTTATAAAAATAAAAAGTAGTTACTCTAGGCCTTCCTCGAGTTGGTTCTTCTTCGTTTTCTTCCGATATTCGATTTTTTGTACTTATACATAAATCCCACAGTTCGATTGCATCTTTGTATTCTTGAGAAGTACGCTTTAATTCAAAATGTAAACAATTTTGATTAGAAACATAATTATTAATTAAAATTCTTATGAAAAAAATTGTATCAGAAATTAAGGTAGCGTACCGAGTAAAATGCTTTGGCATTGGAAACCATTAACTGTATATCAACAGCTAATTCATCCATATCTTTGTACTCATCTGTTTTTAATTTTTGCTGGACCTTCAAAAAGTCCATTGGATTGGTCACAACTTCATAATAGCTTGGTTCCTGTCGTCTTTTAGGAACTCGGATAAATGCATCACACAGTAATGACCCATCGTCTTTCTTGTATGTCCTGATGGCATCGTATAGCTGATGGCACAAGTCGCTCTACAAAAAGCAATATAATAGTCAAAATTGGAAAACAAACTGCTGCTCTACGAGGTAAAGTATAAACGTGCTGGTATTCGAGGGATTGATAATGTGCAAAACTAAAAGTAAATCTATAAAATAGAGTTCATGCTAATCGAGTGTTTTGGTATTTGAGATATAAACAATCATTGATTAGAAAGGACCATCGCATTGTATTTGCCCCATTAGTCTCACCATTCCAGCATGTTTTTTTCCATGCTCAACCGGTGCACTGACAATTATCATCATCAGCTAAAGCAACAGAGATGTATTAAATATGAAAAAAGAGCTTATACTCAACGGCTAGACTCACAGGATCCAGTTTTTTCCTTCTCTTGGATGGCTCTGGCATGACGTCGTCGGGATCATCCTCAGTACCTCGACTGGCCACAGACGAGGTCCTTCTCCTCTTGTTCATCTTCCTGCTGCACTACCTGCACAACAGAACGCAAACAAACAACAGAGAACTACGTTTAGACACAACTAGCCAGACTTGGTTATATAGGCGGCACTGGATTATAATAGACAAAATGCTACACACTGGATATCAAACAGCAGTCCTATAGGTTGAAGTTGTCGATCGGTCGTGTATGTATACAATATAACCCCGCCAGCTTTTGGGGGCACAGTGTTGTTATGCTGCTACTGCCACGCGGGGGCCCCGTGCTGGAGCACAGCCACGACAGGTCGACTACGCTTTGCGTTGACTGCGGATCGTCGCCTCACTACTGTCCCGTAGCTTATGTGCGCGCGCGGAGAGATGTAAACAAAGGCTATCTCGCGCCTCGAACACACGACACACCACGACGAATCGATTCGTTGATGCACTACCGCGTATATGTATGTTGTTGCGTGCTGGCGAGACGCTCCGCGGCTGCCGTTGCGGCCCTACACCGAGACAAAACTGTTGAGAGCCGACATTTCGCTATATAGGCACGTATAATATTACTAGTAACAGAGAGAGGAGGCGAGCAGCGCTACTACAAAATAACATCTCGCGGCCGCGCCGCCATATCCACATAGGTAACGCTATATATGCGTGTAGTAGTGGTCTAACGTCGAACGTAGGCGTGCGTGCGTGTGAGTGTACTGCGCGCGTACAACACGTTACTCCATCTACACAGAATTCTATGCTCAATGGCCTCGCACTATAAGTGTATGCAGCGGCCAGACAGACTATATCAAGTATGCCGCGCGCGGCGCAGTCGTACTTCAATGGTGTGCGTGTGACTAATTCACGCTACATACACGGCATTTCGGAATACAGTTTTCCCCTCTCGCACCGCACGCGGCTCTCGTGCGTTGGGCGATGAGCGAATGCTGCTCCCCCTCCCCTTCGCACATGTTCGCGCTGTATTATAATGTGTAGGGCCGAGACTGTTTCGACGTGCGAAACGGGCCAAGCCCGCGCATATGTTGCTGCTGCAGCTTCGTTGAAGTATATAGCTGCAAATATCACTGCTCCGAACTGCTACGGGTGCTTTCATATTTGCCGCCATCGCACACACGATGACCGATGCTGTCTTTGACCCTGCAGGTGATTTTGCAATTAGTGTGCGTGTGCTCTAGGATTTTCGTCGTACAGCGATTTTAAACAAAGTTTACTTTATGTATTTTAATTTATTAAAATGATTTGTGCATTACACAAAGGATCTTTCAGTGGTAATTTAATTTTTGTGGGTACCTAATTTGCGAGGATGTGCTATTTACACGTAACGTAGTAAAAGTCTTGCACAGCATTGCGATACACCCGTTGCGACACCCAAACGTAAACAATGTTGCAATTTTTGAGGTTTTTCACCTCCGACCGACGAGCACGAGGCTAAAAGCCGCTCAATGTAGAAACGACAGTTCAAACCATATCGATGCGAGTTCGTTACACTTGAAAGCTGTCAAAATCAGCTGTTGTTGGCCCCTTCGCCGCTCGTGTAATTTGTACGTACGTCAAATTGACAATTAGTAGACAAGAGATTCGTATATCAAAGGTGTTCATTTCATTTCTTCTATCAGCGACTTTGCGACTTTGCTTTGAAACAATTTGATTTGATACTACTTGAAATTATCTTACATGTGTGTATCAATGGAAAAATAAAAAAAAATATTGCATTTAAATTATTTATTGAATTTATTGAATAGTAATGAAAACTTGCAAAAATAAATAACAGACATTGAAAATTAATATATATATGCTTATTGCCTGCACAAGCTTTTATAAATATTATTATTAATTATAATTATAAATTGATTGAATGAAAAATGAAATACTATAAATTCATTACAAGAATAAAATAAACCTTCATAATCTTCACTAGAAATATTCTAGCCTTTTTGGAGCTTTTCTATCTCTCCTGGGTCTTGGGTTGTTACGTTCTCTTTCATTCGATTGAGCATCTTTTTTATCCTTTTGATTTTCCTCCGTAGCCGCCAAGCAAATGTTCCACAAATCTCTGTTCAACAGTTGCTTGACGATCATCTCGCAGTACTCGCTTGGCAGTTCGTGGCGCGTCATCTCCGAGAACAGATCCAGGGTCCAGCGTCTAAAAAATTTTCTCGATAGCATTTCACACAGGTGGATGATGCACGGCTCGCGAGATTCTCTGCGGGGACTCCTCTTCAAACTTTTCGACTTCGCGAAATTGAAGTAGTCCGTAATTGTGATTTGCTTCTCTGCCTGTTCTGGTCGTAACTGGATCGCGTCGTACAGCGACAAACTTGAATTTATCATCAACCTTTTTGCCTCGGTCGCGAATGCTTCGATATCTTCGACCTCGATTTCCAAATTCGCTGACGTCTTGAACATTGCTTGTTTATCGAACAATTTCATGATAAGCAGGGCATCGCTTCGGTCGAGATTGTATCCTCGTTTCTCGAGGCGTTCGGCGACGGCCAGAGCACCAGCTGCTAATTTCAACTTAAACTCAAGTTTATTATTTTCATGATTGCGCGCAACAAACTTTTCGCCGAAGTAACTCTCGTTGGGAAAAACAAAACTTGACAGGTCAGCGCCACGATCCAAGAGTACTTCCACGGTATTAGGCAGAAAATTCGCCACAGCCAATTGCAGAGGTGTCCTGTCCAAATTGTCCTTGGCGTCGACCACCAATGTCTTATGTTTTCTGTCGCAGTCCTTGAAGAACGTTTCGGCCATCTCGTCGTCGTCGTTTTCCTCGCAAATGATGTGCAACGGCGTCATGCCTTTCGAGTTGGCCAGACACGGATCCGCGCCATGGCTCAGTAGCTGCAGGGCGATGTACTTGTGACCACTGGCCAGAGCGAGATGCAGCGGCGTCTCGCCCGTCTCTCGCCAGACGCAATCGGGATGGCCTGACGAGAACATGAAGAATCCCTCGACGGCGTCGCTGCAGCCGTACTTGGCGGCCACGTGAAGATGCGTCAGGCCGGTCTCGTCGACGTAGTTCTCGCCCCACAGGATGTAAGTCCTGAACAGATTGTCGACCAGCTCCGGGAGCTCGGAGAAGAAATTAACTCTGGCGGCCTGATGCAACGGAGTGGTACGACGCAGCAGCGTCTCGTTGTCGTCGTCGTAGTCGCCCTCGTCTTTGTAGCCGGACATCTGGACGAAGTCGATGATCGGAGTCCGGCCGTCGTTCTTGTCGGCGTTTTTCATGTCCTGCGCGAGGATCCAATCCATCTGCACCGGCGAGAAGATGTTTCGAAAATCGGGAACCGAGCCCACCCAATGGTCGATCAAGTGCCGGAACGACGAGAAAAATTTCATTCGCGCGTCTTCGTCTTCCCAATCGACTTTTGCTCTTAGCTTTATCAATTTAGTCTGGTTGGCATGGCCGTTCTTGTCCATGTGACCGGAAATGCGGATGTATCCGTCGTCGTCATCTTCTTCGTCTTCGTCGCCTTCGTCCATTTCTACGTCATTGTTTTGGTCGTCTTCGTCGCTTTCGATTACGTACACCGCATCGGATTCTTCGTCGGACGCCGACATTATTATGCGCACTCAATTCACAAGCACACGGTTGACTATGTCATAAAATATTTTTCACTTTTTCACTCGATGCGATCTCATTTGTTGTTAATGCAACGACGTCGTAACGTATACTTTTGTAACGGTCAACGATCTGCAGTGTAAACACGCACTCGAGTTGCGTTGCGTGTTTTGTGCGTTGTCGTTGGGCGAGGCAGTCTCACGACGTTCGAACTCACACTGCACGAGGCACGAGTCAAGCGAGTGAGCAAGAGGGAGAAAAAAATGCACGATACTATCATAGACGTTGCAAATACACTATAGAACTATTTGGCGGGCGATGAGCGCCCAAACTATAACCGTCTACGTTCGCGTCGGGAATTCAAAAATTCGAGCTCTAACTTACAACGCGTATCGAAGACAATATGAATCCTTCATTTTTTTAAGAGTAGATGTGGAGATGTATTTTGCTAAATTATCAACGCGACTGCTTTAGCTGCTCTAAAGATGGATTGAACTTTATTTCTAGTATCATGTTTGTAATATACCGCAATGGCCTGTGAATTCAGAAATGTATTTCTCTATTATGTGAATGATTTTCTGCATTATAATGCACGCATTTTTAAGCTGATCGTGCGCACGTACGAAGGACATTTTCATTGCAATTTCGATGTAGTTACAACGACACGCGACTCGCGAGGCCCTCTATAATTGTATCGTCGTAGATCACGTCTGCGTATAGTCACTTCGTCTGCGGAAAAAAAAGTATCGCCTATTAGAAGCTATCAGTTATCGCATTCGCGGATATTCGCTTGTATATTTACGAGACAGTGCGTTCAGTTGCTAGCCACGATATAAATTCCTGAGCAAGCGTTTGCAAAGTGGTTAAATTGAGACCCGGTGATAGCCACTCGAGTTACCTTTAACCTCGAATAATTTTTCATAATTAGCAGCGATTAAATATAAGCAAGGAAACGATGAAAAGCATCGGAGACACTGTTAGGTACAACCTTTTTTTGTGCTTGTCGTGATATTTTTCGAAGGAATTCGTTAACCACATTTGATAATTCTTCAGGGTAAAGGAAGAGCCGAGCGATACTGGGACAGATGCAGGTGACGATTATAATTTACGTTCTATAGACTCTTGCGAAGCGAAAACGTCTAAAAAATTCACTTTTCACAAATCACCAGTGAGTTTAATGATTTGAATCATGTACTCTTTTCCCATTATCAAAAATTCTAAGGCCATTTTTATTTTAGGCAAATCACGTGAATGAAGCTATTGCATTACAGCCAAGGTTAAATAAAAAAATACTCATCGATTTCGAGTGCAAAGAGATTAAACCTGAACTGTCGTCAACCATGTGCAAAACTGAGTATCATAGTTTTGTGAAAGTGGAAAACGAAATTCCAACGAATCAAAAACGTCTAATGATTTTAATCAAGAAAGGATTCAATTACGAAAATTACAGTCGGTTTGACGAATCCGAGAAGGTAGAAATATTTGGAAAAACAACTCAAACCAAAGTTTCTAACAAGTCCAATTTGAGTCGAAAAACTTTTAAAGAAAAAAAATCTTACGAATGTAACATTTGTCGTAAGTTATTTGGACAAGATGAACTCCTTAAAAGGCACATTAGTGCAGTACATGAACTAAAAAAACCGTTCGAATGTGACATTTGTCGCAAATCATTTGGATACAAACATTCGCTCAAAGATCACGTAAATGGAGGACACGATCCTAGCAAATGGTTCGAGTGTGACATTTGTCACAAATCATATGGACAAAAAGGTTACCTCGAACTTCACATCCAAGCAGTCCATTATCACAGCAAACCGTTCGAGTGCGAAATTTGTCATAAATCTTTTGGATTCAGTAGTAACCTCATTAACCACATAAATAGTGTACACGTTCGGAGCAAACCCTTCGAATGCGACATTTGTCAGAATTCATTCGGACGCAAGGCAACCCTCGAATATCACATAAGTAGAGTACACAACTGTAGCAAACCGTTCAAGTGTGATTTTTGTAAAAAATCATATGGTTCTAAAACCTACCTCATTGAACATATAAATTCAGTCCATATGCAAAGAAAACCCTTTGACTGTGACAATTGTCGAAAATCATTTAAAAGAAAAAGAAACCTCAAGGCTCACATAAAAGCTGTACACGATCGTAGCAAACCCTTCGAGTGTGAGATTTGTCACAGATCATATGGACAAAAAGGCCACCTTAAAAGGCACATAAATATTGTACACTTACGAAGCAAACCATTTGAATGTAGGATTTGTCACCAATCGTTTGGATATAAAACTGTACTTAAGACTCACATGAATGAAGTACATGATTGTAATTAAGAAAATGCGTGAAATCGGTTCTGAGATTTTTGAGCTGAATAAATATTTATGTAATTTTAGAATATAATACCTTCTACATGAATACCCTACTTTTTTTTAAGAACAATAAAATGTTTCAAAACGTTACTCATTTTATTACGACTGTCGTCTTAAATAAACTAAATTATTAACCAAATTCTAATCATAAATCACAGCTAGTTAATTTCAATGGCGCAATTAGGTCATAATCTCTTCAAGGAAGTGAGAATGCAGATTCTCGAATCTCGGCAATCTATGAAGCGACGGTCAAATGATATGCTTCTGATTATCAGTTAATTACTCCCGTAGACGCGCATGAAATGATAAACTTCAACAAAAATATTTTCATTTCTTCGTTTGATCCAGTCCATTGGGCTTGCCATCGCTCTGTTGTATTCTCAGTGCAGTAATTTTTACGTTAAAGACAAAGTACAAAAATATTCTCAAATTTACGATATTCAAAATAAAAATGAATAAAAAAGCCAATAAAATGCATCGGTAACAGTTTCATTTGCATGTAACGTAAGAATGGTTGAAGTAGCCACATCCGAAGAATATACGCGAGCATTAAGTAAAGCTAAATAAGTAAGTAATGAACTGTCTTGAGGTTGAATTTTTATTTGATCCTCAAATTTTCAGTAAAGTTCAAACTCAAACCTATACAACACTATTTTATCAACATGGTTGCAAGTTTATTATCCAATATCTGTTCAAATTAGTTGTTGATCAGTCTTTGATTACTTTGAGAGAAACAGACAGTAGATCGCATCAGATCCAGATCTCACAGATTTTCTCTAAAATGTTTTTCCAGTTAATTTATTTAAAAAAAAATGTATTTTTTACGAATGATCATGTGTGTAGGTATCAATGAAAAAATAAAACTAATTTTATGAATCATTTATTCGAAAAATATGAAAGAATAAAAAAATATTTTAAATATACTGCTCGTCGTCACTCTTATTATTCGGTAACTGCCAAGCAAACGTGCCACAAATCTTGATTCATCAGCTTCTCGATGATTTTCTCGCAGCAAAGAATCGGTAGCTTGAAACGCGTCAACTCCCTGAAAGCGTCCAAGACCCAGCGACGAAAAACTCCTCTCGACATCGCCTCGCACAGATGCGCGGCGCAAGTCTCGCGATACGTTCGTGGAACATGCCACAATTGCCTCGAACGCGCGAACTCCAAATAGTCCTTGTAGGCAAGTTTTTTGGCTACCTCTTCCGGTCGCAGCTGCATCGCGTCGAAGAGCGACAGGCTGGAATTGATCGTGTACTTTTTCGTTTCGGTCGCGAATGCTTCGATATCTTCGACCTCGATTTCCAAATTCGCTGACGTCTTGAACATTGCTTGTTTATCGAACAATTTCATGATCAGCAGGGCATCGCTTCGGTCGAGTTTGTATCCTCGTTTCTCGAGGCGTTCGGCGACGGCCAGAGCACCAGCTGCTAATTTCAACTTAAACTCAAGTTTATTATTTTCATGATTGCGCGCAACAAATCTTTCGCCGAAGTAACTCTCGTTGGGAAAAACAAAACTTGACAGGTCAGCGCCACGATCCATGAGTACTTCCACGGTATTAGGCAGAAAATTCGCCACAGCCAATTGCAGAGGTGTCCGGTCCAAATTATCCTTGGCGTCGACTTGCAACACTTTCTTTCTCTTCTCGCACATCTTGAAAAATTTTTCCGCCCACTGATCGTCGTTGCTTTCCTCGCAGATGACGTGCAACGGCGTCATTCCTTTTAGATTGGCGACCGTAGGATCCGCACCGTGGCTCAGTAGCTCCTCCGCCACTTCTTTTCTATCGTGAAACAAAGCCAGGTGCAGCGGAGAATCACCCGTCTCTCGCCAGATGCAATTGGGATCTTGATTGAAGATGAAGAACGTCTCGACGACGTCCTCGCAGCCGTATTGGCAGGCCACATGGAAATGCGTCAGGCCGGTCTCGTCGGTCAAGTTTGCCTCGTAGAGGTTGTAAATTCTGAAGAGCTTCTCGACCATTTCCGGGGAGTGATCGCCTCTGCCGGCCTGATGTATCGCGGTGGTGCGACGCACCACCAGCTTGTCGTCGTCTTCGCCGTATATGCCTTCGTCCTTGTAGCCGGACATGAATACGAAGTCGATGAGAGAAATTTTGCAGCGAACCTCGGTGTTCCTCAAGTACTCCGCTAAAATGTAATCGACTTCTTCCGGGCGAAAGATTTCGAAATTGGGAAGTTGGCCCTGCCAACCGTTGATCACCTCGCAAAATGCACGGTAATATTTAACCCGCTCTTCTTCGACGTCAAAATCGAAACTTTGTCGTACGCATAACAATTTTTCTATGTTGGCCCAAAAATTGCCATCGTACCCGCAGCTGTAGTTGCGAACGTTTTCGTCGCTATCTTCATCCTCATCTTCTTCGTAGTCTTCGTTGCTTTCAACGTCTTCTTCACTTTCGTCGGTTTCTTCCGCGTCTTCGTTTTCATTCTTTGGGACGTTTTCGTCGTTTTTGACAACGGGTTTTTTATCGGACTCGGACATTGTTCTGGGCACTCTTTATATTACGCACTGACACACAAAAAGCAATGGAAAACGGTATTTTTCACTTTTTTGTCGCGAGAATCACTTGCTGTGCAGTAGATGCGATCTTCCTTTGTTAAACGCTGAATTGAACGCTGCGGCGGCGTAACGTATAGACTATAGTATACACTGTGCGAAAGTCAACGATCTGCACACGTTATAGGTTATATACGCTTATGCGTTGTCGTTGGACGAGCCACTCGCACGAATGGAAGTTCGAACGGACACTGCCGTGATTGCCTGACTGCACGAGGTGCGAATCGAGTCAGAGAGAGAGAAAGAGATGGGAATACACGACGCGGCTGTGCGTCGAGTGAACACAAGCAGCAACCCTACCGGTCGAGCAGATTCTCAAGTCTTGACAAGTGTGTGTCAAATTCGGCATACATGTATGTACTATGTACTGAAATTCTTATGATTATCACGTTTGCTCGCTCATTCTTTTATAAAGTTTGACTGCCACCCAAATGCTCATAATCTTTCGTTTGATCCGTCAAACACAAGGAAACATTTTACCACTGCTCGATCGTATTTCTAGCATAGATGTATATTATATTATTATATCGCAAATCTATGTCAGAAAAAAAATGGTTTTTTCATTGCTAACGTTGATCGAATGCAGTACGCGATAAGTATGTTTTTAAAGGTGATAAGAAGCGTCGCGAACTTACGAGGCGATGCCACCGCCAGGATTTTTACAAATCAAACCCAGAAAATACATGCTTGCGTATATAATTTTTTACGTCTCTGTAGTTTTTCCGGAAAACGGGATCGAAATTTTTAATCAAGTATTGATTAAATGTGCAATTTTGATACTGTTTACCGGAAAAACTACTGAATAAAATTGAGTGAAATTTGATACAATTATTCATTGTAATAATCCGAAAGGCTTCACAGAGACGATTTTTAAAAATCTATCCAAAGCTATGCACCATGCATTTTTAGGAATCGATGATTTTTAAAAAGTGTAATCTGTGCTTAAAACACTTTGGAAAAATGTAAACGGAGCTCCTTGTACTTGGGCTTTTTAAAAAGAAAATTTTCGAAAAGTATAATCTGCGCTCGAAACACGTTTGAATAGTATAAACTGCGCAAGTATTACTATTTCACAGCAAATTTTTTACTTTTGAGTTTTCAGGGTATGATAGCCGAGAAATTGATGATGGTTTAAGATTTGAGATTAAAAATTGAATACAGTGGAACCTGTTTAATTCGAAACTCTGGGGACCTGACTGTCATTTCGAAATAACCAGGTTTTCGAATTCAAAAGTTTACGAAATTAAAGGGGTTGTAATAAAGTCTCAGAATTTCGAATTAAAAAAGGTTTCTAAATTTAAGTGATTCTATGATTTAAGTGACTCTATGAGAAGTGATTCTAAATATTATTTTTAAAAAATTCATGTAATGTTGATGTTGTTCAATTGTTCATAACTTTTGCTCCTCAACTTTTTTGACAATTTTGACACCGGATTCAAAAAGTTCATAAAAGTTCACGTCAGTAATGACTATTTAAACATTTATCAGATATTTTTTTCGCAAAATTTATAGCACCGGAACAAATCATCAAAAGCTTTTGTGACAGTCATTTTTTGGGCAGGTAACTGATCTGCGGTTTCATCTTCTGAACTATCGTCATCACTTTTACATTCGTTAATTGTATCAGTATCAGATAACGTACCAGAAATCACTAAATTATCATCGACATTTACATAATCATCGTATGATACATTGCGTTCTGATCTGATATAATATTGATTAACAAAGTCCGAACGGCAATATCTTCAATTACGATTGATTCATTTTCAGCATTTTCTTTAAAAAATCTTGCTTCGTTAAAACAGTTTGCTACTGATTGTGAAGATACCGCTTTCCAAGCATTTTGAATGATTTCTAGACTATAATATTTTTATTTAAAAAATTGTATTAAGAACCTGCAAAATTCGAAAAAATTCAGAAAAATTAGTTCGAAATAAGCAGGGTTTTGTTCGAAATAAAAAGGTTGTTTTAACAATCGTTTTAAATGGGAGCTGGCCGAGACCGGCACCTTTCTTCGAGTTAACCAGGTTTTCGTAATAAATAGGTTCGAATTAAACAGTTTCCATTGTACGTTAGAAAAATATTTAGAAGTTAACATTAAAATATGATGATCAAAATCACATACTTGTCCTACATTATGTTCTATCGAAAAAAGAGAAATCGTCCTTTTTCAGATTATTCTTTTAGAAATATTAGTTTGCTTAAGATCTTCTTAGGAAATTTAATAATAATTGTCAAACCAATCATTTCGATCTGGTGCATGAAACAAGCTGCACAGTATGTCATGTTCTTCGCGGAAACGAGAACTTGGACCTCGTGGTCGGATCGGGCTATCCGAGGTGATCTCGATCATTTCGATATGTACGAGAGAAAAATCTACATGTACATAGTTCGAAGCGCTTACGCATCGGCTCGATCTATATAATGTGTACAGCGCGTATATAGTTCATGTGTATTTACACAAACTATACCTATATATATCGCGTGAGAACACGTATACAATATCTATACGTATTGCGTTGCGCGAGACAGTACGGTGAACCGTTGGAAAATCTAAAAAGCTCGTATACGTCGATGGGGGTTTTCACGACGAATGCGACGCACTCGTCAGATTCTCGATGGCCCTTATCAAATTTAAACGAGATCGAATCGAATAGAAAATTGACGGGAATTTATGCGCTGTATACGCGAGGAGAGATGTTGTGTTTTTTATTTTGACCGCGGGTTGTATACACATCTGCCGGTCGCGGGAGTCGTTTTATTATTAAAAAGCGCGAGTGTAGCGATATACACGCCACGCCTAAACTGTGTACTGTTGTTATTATCGCCGCCTGTGTCTCATGCTTTCTAATCTTTACTGTGTATATATAGCTCGGTGCTTCTCTCATAAAGCATCGATTGCGTGTTTTTTCTAGTCATTGTGTATGAATTGTATAACTGTCAGTAGTCAGTACACGTCGAGACTCCGTAGCGTATCGAATACATCTGCTGCTGCTGCTGCTGCTTGGAGGCACATCTACGTAGATCGTGTAGTGCACAAGAGCGAGTGATTAACAATTAAAAAGAGATAGTTTGATAGTGTTTTTTGTTCCTATTGCCAGTGGACGAGTTCGTGCGTGCGTGCAAACAATGTCCGCGTTCGACTTCTCGAAAGCGGACAATTTCCAACGGCGTCAAAATGTCCCTGCGTCAAAACGGCCGGCTCGTGACGTCCCTTCTAATAAATGGGTCGAGCAGCATCCCATGATGCTGCACCGAGACACCGTCCGTCAGATTTTTATCGATAACCCGAAGCTCGACGTTAATAGCGTCGACCCCGAGTCGGGTGTGACCCTCTTTCACGTGGCCTGTGAGTTCGGCTTGGTGGACGTCGTCGAGCGATTGCTCGCGAGGCACACCGCTGCTCCGCGAGAGTTCCATCATCGGCCGGTCGACGCGCGCGACGAGCTGGGCAACACGCCGCTGCACCTGGCCCTGCGCCACGCTCATCCCGACAACCGCGAGGTGGTTAAGCTGCTGCTGAGGGCAGGCGCGGATCCCGACGCGGCCGACAGGGACGGCTCGACCGCTCTACACAAGATTTGCAAGAGAGACTTTGAAGACGCGCGGAGACTGTCGCAGACGCTTTTCATGATCTGCCAGGACGTGCTGGGTCGGCCGCCGCGAGTCGACACCCGCGACAAGTGGGGTCGTACGCCGTTCGACTGGGCCGTGCAGAGTCGCTCAGTGCCCGTGCTCGAAGGGCTCCTCGATCGCAGCCGCGCCGATCTTCTGTCCGGCTTCGTTTTTCCGTATCCGCATTATTACGACGCGTACTTGAAGCCAAGAGAGTGCGAGTCGAGCCACGATTTCATCAAGAGAATTGAGTTCGACACTGATTGCGTCTTAAATTGTTTCAAGAGACGAGGATGGGTACCGAAAGAAGAGGACCCGGCCAAGATCAAGGTGATATACAGAAGGTACGGATTGTCGAAGTACGCAGCTCCCGGCCAGTTCGAAAAATCTAAAAAATTATATGGGTTCTCGGGCCCTCGTCAAGAATAACGTTTCACCAAGCATGTAAATGACGAGGATTTACAATAAAAATGATTTTTAAACTCAATAATGTATTTGTTTTTATTACAAAATAGATGAGCTTTACTGTGATACAAATACATATCAAACAATTCCAATGATTGACTCCTTGACATTTTTGGCTTGATTGACGATTTTGACGTTCAATTTTGAGCTCTTACCGTGTCTGAAGCGATGCGAGAAAAATTATGAAAAATACCATACTCTATGGGTTTGAAGATGTTCTTTCTAATGGTGGTATTTAAATTTGCGTGAATTAACAATTTATAGTAAGTATTTTTAATTTACACAAAAAAAGTGTTTTTGAGGTCAATTTTTTTTTAATTTCAATTTTTAAACAACTTACTATTGTTATATGCGGGTAATATATAGTCGAGATCTCTACTTTCAAATTTTATTATTTGTTATCTCGTAAATTATTCAATTTGGAGTCAAAATTCACCGAACAAAATAAGTCTTAGAATTGATCAAGGAACATCCTCAAAACCATAAAGTAATTAGGGTTTTATAGCTAATTGATTAAGACATGGTAAGAGCGAAAAGTTGAATGTCCAAATCGTGTCCTTCTGTGCTAACTTCTTCAGGCCGAGAGGCACTCATGTCTAGTACTTGCTTTATTGATATAGTATTATTCAAAACAAACTTTTGTGCCTTGTAGCATAGAACGAGACAATAAAAACACATGAAAATTTATTCGCTATTCCCAATGAATACGATTCAAGTTATTAAAATAAATTTATTATTAATTTAAGATTAATACAATAAAAACTTATAAAAACTTTACAAGTGGTTTATTACCATAATTTTCCATACACTAATTGTGATATTTTATCAGTTTTTATTGGTTGCTTTCAATGAGATGGAGCTCCTATGGTATAAAAAAATTATATTGTCAATTTGGATAAATTTATCTGCACATTTTCGGGAGTACCTGTAAGCAAGCTTCTCATTTGTATACACGCAAGGCCTAACAAATCTTTCATATCTAAAAAATTGGCTGCGTTGATAAGATCGACTAAAGTTTCCATATCAACCTGTAACATTATAATCATCATTTTTACTCGTTAGATTTTAAATTTGAATTTTAAGTTTGCATTTTCAATTTATATTTTAATAATAAAGAAAATTCAAATTTCTTATTGTTCAATACCTTCAAAAAATTTTTGTCCCACTCCGTCATTTCAACTTCTTTGGCATTATCTGGTATTGGAGAATCTTTATGATGCATGACAAATTCAATAACCATTCCTAAAATATTAGATTTAATTTTGCTTAATGGAAGATTCTCATTCAAGTTGTCCTCGCCTAAATGTTCAATCATTGTTTTTATCAATCCTGAGCGCTTAGCGATTGACAAGTCCAAGTCAAAAATAACTTCGTCAGAACTTTCTAAATGGACAATTTTCATCTGTAACACAATTAAAAAATATATTAGTCAAATATTTTGCAACCATTCTATTGATTCAGAATGATCTCATAATTTTTAATTTTCCAACCACATGTCTCTAGCTATTGAAAATGTAGATGTAGGTGGGGCTATGATTTTCCGTATACGAGACGTGAGCGAGTCATGGAAGCGGAGCTTATTTTCATCACACGAAGCGACGATCCATGTTTAACATTGGAAAACGAGATAAAATAAGTATACATAATTTCGAAAATTAAATTTTCCCATACAGGCGATCGTAATCGAGAAAAAATATCAAGAACTTTCTTAGAAAACTGTGGTGAATGTTCATCATATTGAATTTGAATTAATTAACCTTTTTATCCAAACACCATGAGGTTCGATCAAATATTTTCACCCTTACACGTACATTTTCGAATAACCACGAGGGACCTTTAGAATTTAAACGCCTATAAAAGAGACAGGAAAGGAGGGGGCTTGATAGAATAGCACAAGAGCCTAAGACTAGCGGAAACGTTGCGATTTTTAGATCGCTGCGCTATAAAATCAATTATATCGTGCTGATGAGCGAAAAGAGGTACGTAAGTACAGACTGAAGATGACGTGCGAGTAATAAAGAAGTAAGGCTAACTTAGTTTCATCGAAGTTGTAGGATAAAATTGACTACAGCGAGTTCGTAGGCTCCTTTTTGGAATAAATTCGTCATACTTTTTTATGTCGTTCTGAATCGAAACAATGAAAATTCCCAAAGAACTGAACCTCAAACTATAAATGAATATATTTATTTTCAACTTACTTTGATTGAATTTGTCGTTGCTGTATTTCACCAAATTTTCCAACGTTCGAACGTTCTTGTCAGTGTGAAGACTTATCGTTACTTTTCGTGTCAAACCAGAAACACGTGTGTCCGTGAGTCATGCGCGTACAAACTTTCACTAAGTTGACTTCAATGTAGTCTGATCGGATCGAATAGTCGTGCGTGTATATATTGTGTAAGGAAGAAGAAAGTGGACAGAATTACTACTCACTTAGAGTACCAGGAGTAAGCGCGAAATTTAAATTCTTGTAGAAACAAAAATTAAAATATTTATTGCAAAAAATTTTTTGAAATAAAACTTCTTCATTTTCAATAGGGTATCTGCATGAACAAAAAATTGAAATAATTACGTTATAGTAAAATATACGTATCAAGGAATTTAGGAGTAAACAAATAAACAGTTTTGAACAGTCAGGTAATTTTTAAAAACGAGAATACAAATCAAAAAAATTCGAAAACTATTTTTAACTCCACAAACGACTTTGATTGGTCCGCATAACCGTGACGTCATACTTATAACTTAAGTCGGCTGCTGTATGTAATTTGTATACCTATATATATGTGCGTCTACTGATAAATATGATGTCACGGTCCGCTCGCACAGCTTCGGGCACTTTCTGCGCGTTTTCGGCCGTTTCAAAAGTTGTTGTTTTTGAAACGATGAATTTTTAAGTAAAAACGCAATGAAAAATTAAAAAAAAATATTCATTGATAATTCATATATGTTGATTTCAAAAATATCATTACTTTTTTTTATGCAAATACCCTATTTGGTAGGATGAAAATATTATTGTCACTCCGGTATTTAAATTGTTTTATAATTAGTTGGTGGACACTAGTAAAATTTACATATAAAGGGATATGGGTATTGGTTTATCGACCAAAAAAAGTCGTCATTACCACGTATGTGAAATTTTCATTTTTCACCCGTGTAGCAATACAATTGTTTTCCATTCTCGTGCAAAAGTTTTGAAAAAACCTAGTATTAATCAGAATATCAAAGAATTGATACGATTATTTTTTGACGGCTTTAGCGTTTGACATTTGTTTACTTTTGCCGCAAGCTCTGACAAAGACTTTCATGTGAAGGTGGCACACCTGCACTGTCCGAGCGGAGAGTCACCTCGTGTGGCAGCGAAACAACGTCAATTCATAGTTTCTATTACGCGAATGGGTAGTTTTATTTTATATGATACATTGGATTTTTACTTTTCTTTTTTTTTGGATTTTTAGATTTTTGTTTACTCGAAAAATTATAAACTTTACCATATTGACTGAATTGAGATGTATGCGATACCACAGCGCCTCCCAGTATTCTATTTGGGTGTCCTCTAGTTCTTATGTAAATTAATATTAAATGTATGAAGGAAATCGGTATCATATGCTCCTAAATCAGTACTGGATAAATATTTTTCGTAAATTTATCAAACATTAAATAAAGTCCATGGTTCAATGAATGTTAATTATAATTTTATTATTCCAATAATTTTATATCTATTTCATTTCCTAATTTTTACCATGAATATAAGTATCTATAACTAGGTCACTTATTTAAATAAATATTTTTCATCTAATTGTTAAAAAGAGGCATTAGCATGATTAATCAGATGAGGAGAACGTGGAGGAGCTTCTTCTTCTTGACGGCTTGAGTGGAGGACTGTCTTCTGGTTGATTCGGATCAGCGGATATCGAAGTTTCTGTTATAACGTCTGGAGATTTTCCTGCAAACGCCTTGCTTACTGCTTCAGCTGCATAATCTAACAAATCTTCCATGTCTAAATAATTAGCTACACGGATAAGTTCTAGAAGTGTCCGTAAATCAACCTGTAAGATATTCAAAAATATTATAAGAATTTTTATTGTATCTTAAGATGTATACATAAGTTTTGTAAAAAAATTAAGAATTTAATCTTATTTCTATAATTCAAGATATTAAATGCCAGTCTCGCTTTCCCTAGCATTCACTTTTAACTTTACGGAATGAGTCCTCTCTTAAAATAATGATGACCCTAAAAGTGAAGCCAATCTATTCGGCCTCTAATTGGTCGACTGACTTGTGACTCCAGTCGGAACATAATAAAGTGACATCTACGGTCAAACTAGCAACTTTTTCGAAACTATCTGAAAAATGTACGCGCGCGAAGCGTGCCTGAAAGTTACTAGTAAATTTATGTATTGTGTTGACAACATTATTTAGTAAATCAAAACAAAAATATCATTTTTACTCGTTTGATTTTAAATTTGAATTTTAAGATTAAATTTTCAAATTAAATTCTTATGATAAAAATATTCAAACTGAATATTGTTCAAATACCTTAAAAAATTCTTTATCCCATTCTGTCATTTGTCTTCTGCTTTCACCTTCTTCTTCTAATTGAGTATTTTTATGATGAGTAGCGAATTTAATAACCATTTCTAAAATATCAGACTTAATTTGGGTTAGAGGAAGAGCCTCTTCCTCTTCCAAGTCCTGTAAACCTAAATTTTCAATCATTGCTTTTATCATTCCTGAGCGCTTAGCAATTGCTAACTCCACATCAAAAATAACTCCATCAGAACTTTGTAGATGGAGGATTTTTTTCTGTAATAAAATTAAAAAAGATATTAGTCAAATTTTTTGTAACTATTAGAGATGAAGGCGGAGTTATGACTTTTCAGTAACAATAAGGTAAGTAATATTATTCTATTTTTATTAACTAAACACTTTGTGAACTGAATTATAAAAATTGTAGTAAAACAATCAGAATAAATGATAGATATTTAAATTTTGTTTCGAATGGACTAAAGTGAATGACCGCAAAAAAATGCTAAGAAATAGAACTACTACCTAACGAATTTAACTACATAGCACTTATTACTAACTGGTAGTTTTTGGTAATAAGTGCTATGTAGTTAAATTCATTTCTACAATACTTATACAATAAGTACAAATAAATATACAATAAATATAAGTGAAATGGTCATTTGCACTGACTTTATATAGTCAAAAAACTTTCATTACACAACTTGAAACAAAATTATGCAAATAAAATGTTGAAAAAAAGTTAAATTTTTAGTTAGTGCACCATTTCCGTGCTCGATCACGTTATAAGAAATTTAAAAACACGCCTTCGATGCATCCGACGCCGCCTACCAAATGCAAAGACCAATCACAACACGCTTATTTTGAAAGCATGATCAATCCATTACTTCAGTGAGAGCAGATGCTCAACTGATAAAGTCATGTCCCAATTGTGGTCGGTCTCCTGATTTAGACATTTGTAAACAAAACCTCGTGGTCATCGCCTGATCAGCTGTCAAAATTTTACGGTAATTATTTTTTAACTGTCAATACTTTGACAAAGAGCTTTCTCGATTGTTCCTACTTTTATATATGAAATTACTACTTTTATTATGTAATAAAGTCATTAACAATAGTATATTGCTGCCCTAGGCCGTGAAAAACAAAAAAGTCCCAAAGAACGAGTAATTATCGGGCAAGGCCGATGAACACTTGCTCTGTGCCTTTCTTTTTCATGGCTTAAGGGGCTATTCTACTTTAACCATTTTAGAAAATCGATTTTTTTTATTTCATTTTTTGAAAGTAAATGTCTTTGAAAATATTGTGTTAAAATTTCAGAGCGATCAAAGCCTTCTAAGTATACTTTCTGCAACGGCACGCGCCTCTTAGTGCGCGTGTACGCTTGTACCTGTATAATACGCCTAACAGCCCCACCCCTTTTTTCGAATCTTGGCTCATTATGTACATATAATCAGATGTTGCAACGTACTGTAAAGGCTTACTATAAGCGCTGAGCACGTGGTTGTAGATGATTTTGAACGTTAATCAAAGTTTAGCTGCAAAGATGTTTAGGTGGCCACATGCAAAATAATAACGAGAGCTTCAACCATTCCGTGTGGATGATGGCACTAAAACACATTTTTTCCGGTGGTGTAATTGTTGAAATTGAAACCAACATAGTTGCTTGTATCTTCAATGAAGGATTTTGCACCGTGCTAAAGATGATGGATGAGCTAAACTTAAAAATCGGAGCCTATGCATCTACTTAAGCTGAGAAGTGCGACGAGCAGCGCATACGTTCAGCGAACCGCCGTAGCACTGACTTGTCTCAGAAAGATAGAGCAAGCCGCAGAGACACCGGAATGGGATGAAAATCAATTTCATGAAGAATCTGAAGGTCTTCTGTATGGCGCCGGTATCACTGATTAATCGTAAGTATCACATTTTTAACTATTCGAAAAAAAAAACTTTGAACGCGTTTTTCTCAAAATGATGTTTTTCGATATGGTCCCAGTGATTTCTCAAAAACTACTGAATCGATTCGTCTGAAATTTTAACCACTTATTTGTTACATATATAAGTATGGTTGGAACCAAAATTTTGTCAAAATTCAAATTTTTTCTATTTTTTTATAAGGAAAAACCGAGAAAAAAAAGGTCTTTTTTTATTCCATTTGCTGAAACGGCCGCCATTTTGTTATTTTTGACCCAAAAATGAAAATTTTGGTCCCAACTATAGCCAACCATGCACTGAATAAAAGGCTTTTTTCATTTTGTGTTTCAGATGTTTCATTATTGCTTAATCAGTAGGACAGTGCGCACCTGTTTTTTTTTCGTGCCTTCACACGTGGCTGCATTATACACATATATGTATAGTAAAACTAATGAAAAAAATTTTTTTATATAGTTCAATACTACCTTTATCAACCCCAAAAAGATTTAGAACGATATCTGTCATAGATTGCTTAAAAAAAATTCGCGAAAAATACCTTTTTTTACGGCCGACCAAGTAGAATAGCCCCTTAAACTTTTATGCTATTATTGCTTTATGTTTCGTTTTTACATTATTATATATTCTATTTCTAACATATCCACAAATATTTTACAACTATAATTGTCATAAAGACATCTGGATTAAAAACTTACATCGACAGAGTATTCTGAGTATTCCATATTGGAAACGAGATATGCAAGCTGCCTTGTTACTATGTCAAAAGATCCAAGCACTGTGAGACTAACACTCATTTTTCGAATCTTTCATACCCGAAACATGAGTGGCGCCACAACGAGCAGCAAACAGGGCTGCCGCACTATTTTATCGACTCGACTTCGTTGACTTTCTCCATGTAGCCAACTTTTATGAGTGCGGGCAATTTGAAACATACTTTGTAAAGCATATATACTATCACATCTATGTAAATTTTCTCTATCAGTACTCCTTTTGCCGAACAGTAACGCAACTTCTGAGCGAATTTGGAGCAAATTAAATCTAGAAAAAACTGCCATACGTAATCGACCACAATTAGAAACTGTCCAATCTATACTATTTGCTGCTCAATTCGCGTTATGTTTACATTTCGAAATGATGAAAATTAAGAATCAATTTTTGAAATGCATGAAATTCGGGATTTTTAGGAATCAGAATATCAAAATCGGAACATGAAAAATTCGGAAAACAAGATTTGAGAATGAAAAATTTTTGGAATAAAAAAATTTTGGAATAAAAAAATTTCTGGTAAATTAAAATTCAGAATTCACAAAAGGTTAAGTAGAAAATTTATAATACTTTTCGCAGCTTACAACATATGTTGTTGTGGCCTATACAAGTCTTTATACATCTTGATATACGATTGTATTATTTCATTTCTATAGTACATTTTATGTTAATAAAAATCGCTGCAAATTCATTAGAAAAGATCGCTACCTTCTGTAATAAAAAATAAACAACTAAAAAGTTTTTTTTACGCATTTATGGCACAATAAGTTATTCCGGCTTCTTAACTACCATGATCAATTATAAATCTAATTGAATTTGATACCGTTCAATGTCATGTTTTCGAGATTTTGCTGCGCACATCGTCGCCCCAGCGCAGAAAGGTATCTATTTCCAAGCTGTAGCAAGAAGGATACTTACTCGCGCGCAGAGGCAAAAAGGTATCTATCTCGAGCGCAGCGGCAAAAAGGTATCTAATTCAAGCGTAGAAGCAAAAAAGTAGCTAATTCAAACGAAGTGGCAAGAAAGTTTTGACGCGCCGAATTTAGGTTGGCAACGGAGTCGTAAATGATAAAATTTTGTTTCGTATTAGAGCAAAAAAGAGGAAAAACATTTGAGCTTGTGTAATGATTTTCATCCATTTGTAATGCGAGCAAACAAATCAATCTCACCATGATTTCGACTCAATTTGCCACTTATGGAGAACTTTCTATGTTCTGAGAAGAAAGTAGAAGTTATCGGCTTTACATAACTTTGAATTAAATGTTGAATGTTGAATGTTGAAACAAAATTTAATCATTTACGTCTGCGTTGCCAACCTAAATTCAGCGCGTCAAAACTTTCTTGCCACTTCGTTTGAATAAGCTACTTTTTTGCTTCTCGCTTGAATTAGATACCTTTTTGCCGCTGCGCTCGAGATAGATACCTTTTTGCCTCTGCGCGCGAGTAAGTATCCTTCTTGCTACAGCTTGGAAATAGATACCTTCCTGCGCTGGGGCGACGACATACGAGAACTTAATGTAGTTTACAAATACTGTAAACGAAATTGTTCTACGACGCTTTGTTCAAAATATCGTTTTTAAGCTCATTAAATCAAAGATCTTCCTCTAGCAGGAAGTAAAACTAAATCGGTAAGATACTTGCTTGATAGGTAGGTACGATGCAAATGTCAAGCAATTTATCGCATTTTATAGATCACGAAATTTTCAGCAGGGAGAATTAATATTTTTAAATTTGTACGGATTATATGAATTTTAAGCAGGAAGTTAAAATATTATCTTCCATAAAATTATAAAAAATTATTAGTGTATTAAGTTAATATAAAACATAATATAATTAATATAATTAATATAATTAATATAATTTTCTCAGCTAAAAATTTCGTGATTTTTCAAATGAAATCGATTGCTTGGCGTATGTATCGCGTTACAATTGTTCAGAAAATTTTTCAGTCAGCATAACCCACTTCATTACAACAACAGGTAACCAAAAAACCGAGTAACAGTTTGCCACAGCTGAAAAGTTGAAACTGCATCGTGATGGTGAATTACGATAGAAGTAAATAATAATAAAGTATTATATACGTGTGTAAGTTAAATCTTTGCGTGGTAATGTTTGCGGGGTAATTTTTTGTATTATTTTTTTCAAATTAAAGATTCGTGTTTTTTTTACATTAATACATCAAAATAGGAAGAAGCACTTTGACAATGAGCTGAGACCTTAATTATTACATTAAACTTTATATTAATATTTACAGTAAATCAAACTGAGTGAGCGGTTTATTATCAATACCGACTAAAACGGCGCGACGATGGTAACGTTGACATTTGGATGCCGGATGAATTTGATGTGCCGACTGTCTGTGATGGTTTAATTTTCATTCAGTACAATGCTTTGTCAAATAGCACCTTGCTGATAGGAGGAAGAAAAGTAATTATAATTGAATTATTTTATTTTATTAGATTTAATAAAATCTGGCACACTTGCGTGAAACCAAAGATGAAATTAGTGTTGAAATGATTATTCGCGCAATAAACACTGCTTCTACGCACGATAAAAGTCATATCAGAAGAAGAAAGGATCCTAATTTAATCGCTAGTATTTATGCTTTCGATCATAATTATTTTACAGATGTACTCAAAAAATGTGAGCGGGAAGACAGGACGTATGGTTTAAAAAGAAAAACCAAGACTAGTTATATTAATGAGCCTAATTAAATAAATGCCGTTGCAGGTATACCTATTTTTTATTTTTCATAAATTTGATATTTTATGCTTTGGGTTAATATTTTGAACAATATATGATGAAATTTTTCCAATATACTTCAATTTTGGACTATAATTAAAATTGTGAATTTTTTTCAGATTTGATCTCTAGTATTTCGAATAAAATTGAATTTTCTGAAAACTTTCAAAACTCAATTCAATCGGTATAGTCACAACTGCCCAGAACAGAAATAGAAATGATTATTTCTGATCAAAAAATCATCGATTTTATGGCTTTTCTGATAGACTCTAAAGATTATTGTGAAAAATATGCAATTATCTCACATTTTAATTTCGACGATCTATAATATTTTGATTCGTGTACTGGAACCGTATGGTACATTTACTTGAGTGAATTTAAAACGTTTTTAATATATAGAATTGTATATAGAATTGTCAATCTTGGACTGCTTTTGTAATTATAATATAAGAACAAATGAAT